GTGCTCCAGCCCGGCGGCTGCGCCCGCCTCTCCGCCAGCGGTCGCGCTAGAGATGAAGCGCCTGCTCTACCGCCTCGGCCGTGCACCCGCGCTCGGCATGGACGCCGTCGGCACGGAGCGGCTGACGACGTCGCTCGGCATGGGCCCGCGCGACGTGCTCGAGCAGCAGGACGCGCAGGAGTTCTGGCACACCCTCCACGCCGCGCTCGTCGCCTCGGGCGAGCTCGCAACGGAGGGACAGCCGCGCGGGCGGGGCGCTGCAAGCGAGATGCCACAGAATCACGGTGGCACTGTCTCTTGTTGGAAACTTGGGGTGGAGCTCCATGGCTCAGTCCTTTACGGCCTGGCCCCTCTGTGTCCACCTTGCAGGCGTGCCGGCTCCGCCGCCGACGCCGTTCGCGCGGGTGTGCGCCCGTGAGCTCCAGAGTTGACAGACCCTTCCTGCGCTTCCTACACCCTTCCCAGACACTTGCTCCTCGCGACGCGTCCCTGGCGCGTCCCGCAGGTCTTTGAGGGGAGGACGCAGAGCTACGTGCGGTGCACCAAGGTGCCCTTCACATCGGAGCGGGAGGGCCGTTTCTGCGACCTGCAGCTGCAGGTGGCGGGTTGCGCCTCGCTGCACGCCTCGCTCCGACAGTGCGCTCCTCTCCCTCCCCCTACCCCTACCCCTACCCCTACCCCTCTCTCCCCCTCCCCCCCCCCCTCCCCCTCCCTCTCCCTCTCCCTCTCCCTCTCCCTCTCCCTCTCCCTCTCCCTCTCCCTCTCCCTCTCTGACTCTCTCTCTCCTCTCTCTCTCTGACTCTCTGACTCACTCTCTCTCTCTGACTCTCCCTCCCTCTCGGCTATGGCCGCAAGCCCCGGCAGCCCCACCGAGGCGGCCACCGCGGTGCGAGTAGGTACGTGGCGGAGGAGACGCTGCAGGGCGAGTACAACACGCGCGACGAGCGCTTCGGCCGGCAGCCCGCGGGGACGGTGCGGCGCGGCTGCGCCTTCCGCTCGCTGCCTGCCGTGCTGGCGCATCACTGGGAGCGGATGCCGCAGCCTCCTCGGTGCAGCAATAAGGGGAGGACGGCCCTCCTTCAAGGTGCTTCACCTCAAGCGCTTCGAGTACGACGCGGCGACGGGCGCGACGCACACGCTGGAAGGGCAGCTTCCCGCGGAGCCGGCGCGCGAGGCGTGCTTTGGGCCGGCAATAGGCGCGATGCAGAAGCTGCAGGGCTCCTTCTCCTTCCCCACCACGCTGCGGCTGCGCCGGTACATGGCCAAGGGCGCACGCGGCGGCGGAGGGCCGCCTCCGGTCTACGAGCTGCGCGCCGTCCTCTCGCACGCCGGCGGGTTCGGCTCGGGCCACTACATCAGTTTCGTCCGCCCGCTCGGCGGCGGCGGAGGCTGGTACCGCTTCGACGACACGCGCGTGGAGCGCGTGGCCGAGTCGGCCGCGGTGCGGGAGCAGTACGGCGGCGATCACGCGCCGCGCGGAGGCGGCCTCTTTGGGCTCGGGGGTCCGTCGCCGTCGGCGTACATGCTCACCTACGTGCGGCGCTCCGAGGCGCGGGCGGCGGAGGCGCACGCCGCCGCCGCCGCCGTCGGCGGCGCGCCGTCCGCCGAGGTGGAGGCGCTCGAGGAGGAGCTGAGGGCGGCGTTTGAGGCGGAGTTGGTCTCCCCTCGCCGGAGGCGGTAGCGGCGGCTGGCTGGGGGAGTCAGCGGCGGCGAAAGAGGGGGAGGCGCGCGGGCAGGGAGGGGAGGCGGAGAGCCGCAGAATCGCTTCGGCCACTAGCTGGGTGCGGGGCGCAGGCGGGCGGGTCGGGGGGAGGGGTGTGTGCCGGCGGGGCGACGGCCCGCGACTCTCTCGCGGACACGCGGAGTCGGAGAGTGGCAGAGGCCAGAGACGCCGCGCGGGGGTCGGAGGACGAGCGCAAGTGCCAAGTCGTCGGACGGTCGGAGAGGCTAGTGCCATTTCACTCTGACACGCTAATCTTGAAAACGTCTCCAACGGAGCTCCGTGTTGCTTCCAGCGCCCTCCCCCGCGCTCCCTGCGGCCATGGCCGATGCTCCTAGAAAGAGAGGTCATCTGGCTACCGCGAGAGCGACCCAACTCGTCGACATCGTCCGATGATGGTGCCGCAAAGTCAGCCTTCGGAGGCTATCGTGGGGTCGAGCCGGCAGTAGCCGTGACATGTGGTTCCACCACCCCTCGTAGGCTTTGCCTCTGACCGCCACCGTTCCCAGGCTGCCTAATTGGATGGAAAGGAAGGCTCGGCGAGCGTATAGAAGCGTGCTCGACCTCGTCGTGGCAACCTGTACGGCAGCGCTGGTAGGCGCGATGAGCGTCGTGCCACCTGACCCGAGACGGGTCGCAGGCGTCGTACCGAGCGCGTCGAGACCGTGTCCTGATGTGATCTGCACGGGTGAGTCACGTCGGCGTCAAAGGAGCGACGTGCGACCTGTCAGAGCTTGATCTCCAATCTCAGCGGCGTCGAGTCGTCTCCGGCGGCGACAATTTTGTCCCTCCCCAGGACGCACAGAGGCAGCTGCGACCCCGCCTAGGGGCCGGGGGCCCTCCGCGCCACCTGCCGAGTGCCCCCGTCCACTTGGCGGGGTCGCAGCTGCCTCTGGAAGGCACCGAGAGGGACAAAATGGCGCAAATGGTCAAATCAAGGTTTTGTAACGCGAGCTGTGCCACAGTGAAATGGCACTAGCCAGAGACATCGACTCGCATGTCTCATCGAGAGGATTCCTGAACCACCACACACCACGGAAATTACGGTATGTCATTCCGTATGTTTTGTGAGGACGAAACGGTACACAATTCCACTATCCATGTGCTGGAGTTTTGAGAACATCAAGTCATCAACATGACACTTCTGAGCACCTAAATGATCGCGCGGATTCATAGACTCACGACTGTCACCTCCGGCGGTTGCCTCGACTCCGCTTCCGCCCACCGCTTCCCTTACCCCTCCCTCCCCCCCACGGCTGCCGCTGCGGCGACCCCTGCCCGCGCCCCTGCCCGTGCCGCTGCTGCCCCCACTGCTGTGGCGACCCCTGCCACCGCTGCGGCTTGGCCGCCGCCGCGCCGGCTGGCGAGGCGGGCAGCCTGCTGCTCGCCGGCGAGCCGAGCGGCCCGGAGGCCTTTGGCGGCGAGCGCGCGTCGGCGGCGGCGAGGGCGGCGTGCAGCTCGGCGTTGTCGGGCAGGAAGGCGTCGTAGTGCACGCCGCCGCGGTAGAGGATGTGCAGCGTGCCGCGCTTGCCGCCGCCCGGCGCCCTCGGCGCGTCGAAGCAGGAGATGCGCTCGTAGCCGGAGCGACGACGCTCGTACACCTGCGGGCGAGGCGCGGGCGCGTCGCGGACGTGCGCCGCGGGCGTGGCGCGCGAGCGGAGTCTGTGGCGAGCGGCAGCAGCATCGCGCGCCGGCGGGAGGGAGACCGGGAGGCGTCTCGGAGGCGTCTCGGAGGCGTCTCGGAGGCGTCTCGGAAGTGTCTCGGAAGTGTCTCGGAAGTGTCTCGGAGGCGTCTCGGAAGTGTCTCGGAAGTGTCTCGGAAGTGTCTCGGAAGTGTCTCGGAAGTGTCTCGGAGGCGTCTCGGAGGCGTCTCGGAAGTGTCTCGGAAGTGTCTCGGAAGTGTCTCGGAGGCGTCTCGGAAGTGTCTCGGAAGTGTCTCGGAAGTGTCTCGGAAGTGTCTCGGAAGTGTCTCGGAAGTGTCTCGGAAGTGTCTCGGAAGTGTCTCGGAAGTGTCTCGGAAGTGTCTCGGAAGTGTCTCGGAAGTGTCTCGGAAGTGTCTCGGAAGTGTCTCGGAAGTGTCTCGGAAGTGTCTCGGAAGTGTCTCGGAAGTGTCTCGGAAGTGTCTCGGTAGTGGAAGTGTCTCGGAAGTGTCTCGGAAGTGTCTCGGAGAGGCGCCGCGCGCCCACACAGACACACCCATCAGGTGCGAGCAAGCGGCCATCTCGACGCCTCCGCCCCACCCGCTGCGCGCCATCCGGCTGGCGTACGCCTGCGCCGACAGCCCGCTGTCCCACTTGACCCACATCGACACGGGCGTGTCGGCGATGCGCAGCTGCGCGTTGGAGGCCACCCACCGCGCGAGCTGCTGCCGCAGCGCCGGCGCCGAGGGCACGGAGGCGCAGCGGCGCAGGGCGGGCGGGAGGGCGTGCAAGCCGTAGCGGAGGGAGTGGAACAGGCAGGAGCCGTCACCGGGCTGCGGCACCACGCGGCCCCGCCTAGCGGGGGGAGAGGGGCGTGGGGAGGGGGGGCAAGTGGAGGCGGGAGGGAACAGGGGAGAACGGGAAAGGAAGGTGGTGGGTGGTGGTGGGTGGTGGTGGTGTGTGGGTGGGTGGGTGGTGTGTGTGTGGGTGGGTGGGTGGGTGGGTGGGGGGAGGGGGGGGGGGCAAGGACATGGGCGGCGGCTCCGGCACCGGAGCAGAATCGGCCGCGCGTCCGCCCCCAGCCGCCGCTTGGCGCCGCCGGGCTGCGCGTCCGGGTGCCGGTCGCGCGCCTTGCGGTAGTGCGGGCAGAGGGCGGACGCGTGCCGCCCGTCGCACTTGTCGCAGACGGGGGAGGGGGCGGCCTTGGCCTTGGGCGGCGGGTGGCCGTCGCCCTTTGGGGAGGGCTGCCCTCCCGCCCTCCCCCCTCTAGATGGAGACTGCGGCACCGCTACGGTGAGCCTGGCGCCGCCGCCGGCAGCGCCCGCCTCTGGCGCGCGGTCGACCTTGCGCTTCTTGGCCGCGGGCGAGAGGGGCGGCTCCAGCGAGGCGACCCCGCCCCCCGGGAGAGGGGCGGCGAGGGGCAGCACGGGCATCGGCCGCTTCGACCCCTTGGCCGCAGCTGGCGCGCAGGAAGACGCCGCCAGCTTGGCGGCTGCCGCTGCCGCTGGAGCCGGAGCTGCGGAGGGCGGCGGCGAGGCGGGCGCAGCGAGAGCCGCGCCGGCGGTCGCGCGCCTCTGCGGCGGCTTCTTCGGGGAGAGGCGCGCGGTCTGCGAGGGGATCAGGGGCGGCGCAGCGGGCAGAACGGCAGCCTTGGCTGGCTTTGGCCGCTCTGGCTGCTGCTGCTGCTGCTGCTGCTGCTGCTGCTGCTGCTGCTGCTGCTGCTGCTGCTGCTGCTGCTGCTGCTGCTGCTGCTGCTGCCGCTGCACCTCTTGCCCGCTCCCATTGCGTCGCTGATGCGGCGGCCCCCTTTCCCTCTTCGCCTGCTGCCCCGGAGCTTCCCTCGGCCGCGCGGATGGAGCGGCTCGCCCCGGAGAGGCGGGAGCGGCGGCAGCACACGTGTGGGATCGAGTCGACGCGTCGGCGAGTGGGCGGGCGGACTTGGCGGCGTGCGGCCGCTCCTCGGAGGAGCTCTCGTGCGACTCCCGGCCGACCGAGTCGTCGTCCGACGATGCAGACGCCGAGGACGCCTGGGCCGCCGGCCGGGTCGGGGCGGGGCCGCCGGTCCGCGAGGGCCGCTGCCGCTTGGCCCCTCGCCCCAGTGCGGACGGCGCCGCCTCCGGAGGCTGCACTACGGACGCCGCCTCCAACGCCACCCGCGGCTCTGATTGGCGCAGAGACTTGGCCGGGAGCACAGGCGACGGCCGGCTCGCCGCTCGGACGACAGCACGCGGGCTGAGGCCGAGCCGGAGCCGCTTCCAGGCAGCGTCCTTCGCGCGCTGTCTCCGCGAGGCCTTGGGCGACGGCAAAGATCCGCGCATTTGGGCGGCGTGCGGCACACGGCGAATGGGCAAGTGCACGCTCACGGCGAACGGCAGGTGAGTGCGACGAGGCCGCGGAGGTCGGCAAAAAGAAAAAATACACGGGACTCCCCCGAGGCAGGCAAGGATACACAGTCCCTCGTGTCGCGCGTGTAACTCCCGGTTGCCGTGCGCGCCAGCGCGTGTGGCCGCGTACCTAAGCTAAGATACGCGCGCACGGGCGTGGGTGGGTAAAAACGGGTCACTTTGCGGGGTTTGCCGCCGGAACCTGGGGTCACAGCGCGTTGGGGTTCACCTCCTCTGCTCGCGGTGCTGCGCGCGCAGGGGTTCACCTTCCTCTGCTCCAAGCGGGGCTAGGGCTCCATCCCCGCGAACAATGGCGCCGGCGCGCGATGCTATCCTGCAGGCGGTCCAGAGAGGCAACGAGGCGGCAGCGCGGGCCTATCTCGCTGACGGCGGCGACCCGAGCGCAGCCTTCACCCAAGGCCCGGTTGCCGGGCTGACGCTGCTAATGGCCGCCTCCAACTTTGGCCAGCCCGGCATGGTCGACCTGCTCCTGGAGCATGGCGCATCCCTGGACGCGCGGGCGAGCAACGGAATGACTGCGCTCATGGCGGCCGCCTACTTCGGCGAGGCTGCGATCGTGCGCAAATTGCTGCGGGGCGGGGCAAACACTCGGCTGCGCAATGAGAGCGGGCTGACCGCGATGGAGATCGCACACCGGAGGGGACACGCCGAGTGCGTGAAGGCCTTCAGGCCGCAAGGAGGCCACAAGGTGCTGCCCCGGGACGTGCACGCGGCAGAGGGGATGTTGGAGTGTAAGGTCCCCGAGGAGGTCTGGAGGGCGGCCGAGCGAGGCAGGGAGGCGACGGTTGAGGCTTGGGTCGACAGCGGCGGCCAGATGGACGCAACGTTCCTGTGTGACGGCGTGGACGACACCACGATGCTGATGCTTGCCGCCGGCAACGGCCATGAGCGTCTGGTCGAGACGTTTCTGCAGCGCGGTGCGGACCTGGAGCTGTGCGACGCGAGGGGCAAGACGGCGCTGCAGTATGCGAGGCAGGCAGGCCACACCGAGTGCGCAAAGCTGATCGAGGAGCAAGCGAGGGCGGCGAGGGCGGCGAAGGAGACAGAGGCGAAGCGGCGAGGCGAGACGCCTTTTGGCGGACATGGAGGTTGGGCTTTGTCAGCGTCTCATCACACACCTGGTTGTGCCTAGGCGACGCGCTTCTGGCGGAGCTCGAGGCGGAGAAGGAGGCGGAAGACAAGAAGAAGGAAAGCAAGAAGGGAAAGAAGAAGAAGAAGAAGGGGAAGGGCAGGGCAGGGTCGTCGCAGGCGCACGGCGAGGCGGCGGGTGAGGCGGACTTGGCAGAGGTGGATGCAGAGGTGGCGGCGCCCGAGGCGGAGAAGGAGGCGGGAGTGCCTGTCCGCTGCCTCGGCGAGGCGACGGCGAGGCTGAGTGTAGTGCCAGAGGGACAGGCACTAGAGGAGCCATCACCGGAGGTTGGCGCCGCTGCTCCGGCCGACCTCGCCGAGTCCTTTGCGCCGCCATCGGAGTCGCCGTCGCAGCTTGCTGCCGCGGCCCCCGATGAGGACTCGATCGGACCCGAGGACCCGAGCTCCGACTCCGTCTCCGACGATGCGGTGTCGGGAGAGCCCCAGCCAGCGGTGGCGACCGTCTCGCTCGCCAACGCCGACTTCGACACTGGCCGGGCGGTTGTTCCTGAGTCCACCCTCGGCGGCGAGACCACATGCATCGTGTGTTTCACCAGGCCGAAGACGCACATCGCCGTGCCATGTGGGCACCAGTGCGCGTGCGGCGCTTGCGCGGATCGGATGCGCGACTGCCCGTACTGCCGCGAGCCGGTGATGATGTGGATGCTGCAGCGCCTCGTGTAGGAGATGACATCCGTGTCGAGGCGAACGCGTCGTTGCAATTAGCGGGTAGATCGATAAAGGGGGAAACGGAGGTTCGCCGGGAGCGAATCACCGCACAATTCTTTTATGCGAGAGACGTCGTAAAGGTTCTCCACGCACCGCTGTGGGCGCGCAGCTGTGGCGTGTGGCAAGGGACGACGCCGCGCGAGCCGGCTCGACGGTGAACGAGCTAAATCCCAACGTTCCCTCGGCGGTCGATGCCGTCTGGTCCGCCTCCGCCGTCCCCGGGTCTGCCCTGCCCTCGTCTGCACTAGCTTCTGTTTCGTCATCACTGGCGCCTCTCCTCTTCTTTCTCCTCTTCTTGTATGCTTTGTACATCGCGTCGATTCCTTTTCGCGTGAGCACCATCCTGAAGCTCGCCCAGCAGCGGAACCGCTCCCGAAGTCGAAGTCGGGCCTTTTTTTGGTTTCTTTCTTTCTCCCTCCCTTCGTGCGCGACAACATAACGTGATACACGTGTGTTGTGGCGGCGCACCCTCCTCCCACCACGCCCTTCCCGCTATTTCTCTCTCGCAACAGCACTCAGCACCCCCTAAGGATTGGAACGGCACCACCCATGGGCGGTGCGAGGACAGATCAGGGTGGTGTTAAGAAACACCGGGGATTTGGAGGGGTCTTCGTCTTGGGAGCTTAGCCGCCAAAGCCGTACAGCGTGCGGCCCTGGCGCTTGAGCGCGTAGACAACGTCCATGGCGGTGACGGTCTTGCGGCGCGCGTGCTCGGTGTAGGTGACCGCGTCGCGGATCACGTTCTCGAGGAACACCTTGAGGACGCCGCGCGTCTCCTCGTAGATGAGGCCCGAGATGCGCTTGACACCGCCGCGGCGAGCGAGGCGGCGGATGGCGGGCTTGGTGATGCCCTGGATGTTGTCGCGAAGCACCTTGCGGTGGCGCTTAGCGCCGCCCTTGCCGAGGCCCTTGCCGCCCTTGCCGCGTCCAGACATGTTGTGCTGTTGTTGTTGTTGATTAACCGTTGACATCGATGAAATACTCACCCCATCTTGCTCGGTCGGCCGGTGGAGGGCAAACACTGCGGCTGCAGCGGCGCACACACGATAATTCCCTTCCCGCGCGGCCCTGCAGGGCAACTCGGCCATCACAATGGCCCTCCGTCGGCGCCAACTGCCGGCATTGCTCCTCGTGGTCTCCGCGGTCGCCATGGGACCAGCGTTGCAATGCGCGGCGGCGCCGATTGGCAGGAAAGCATGCCTGGCGCGACGGCGTGCAATGCACCGCGCTGCTGTCCGCGGCGGGCGCGCCACCTCCTTGCCCAAGCTCGTGCCTGCCTGGCGAGGCAACGTCCTGCAAACTAGATGCCCCAGTCACGCCTCCCTCCCCGAAGGAGACGCCTCAGCCCCGCGCAACCCGCCCGTTGATCCCCACCGCTTGAGCTCGCGACGTTTCACCGCTTTTGCGCAAAGAGAGCAGATGCCCCACAGGGCATGCTTTCTCCTCCCGACGCTTGCTCTCACCCCACCAAACTTGCTCCCCATCACCGAGAGCGGCACAACCCTCGCGTTCCAACGGCAGGCGCTCGACCTCGTCGCCGCCGCTGCAGTCGGGGGCGCTATGGGAAAATTCGACGGCACCGCCAAGAGCGCAGCGGACATGACACAGCTCCTCTACACGCACCTCACCTCTACCCTGCTCCTGCGTCGCCTCGGCCTCATTCACGTCGAGTGGCACCGGTGTGCCGGCCTCATCTGAGTGCCGTCGGCGCTCGCACGCCTCCCACGGGAGCCCTCCAACACAGGTGCGCGCCCTCCTTCCTGTGCTACATGTACCCACCTTCCCCTCCGGCTGCTGCGCCTCTGCGCGAGACGGGGAGGCGAGCGAAGGCGGCGGAGGGTGGAGGCGGCCCGCAATCAACACTCCCGGGGTTGCTAGGACGAGGACTGCGAACACCTCGTGGTGGTTGCTCAATGAGGGATTCCGATGCTCCGGACGACGAGCTAGCTACCTGCCTCTGGCGCTTCGCACCCTTCCTGTCGCTCACTGTAATACCTGTCGCACCCTTCCTGTCGCTCACTTTGGGAGAGAGAGTAAAAAACCCTTTGGGCGCCGCAGGAGCACGCGGCAGTCGGCGGCCTGGGCGCATTCGCCGTTGGTGCCTGGCTGGCGCCGGCAGACGGCTACGGGTGCGGGTACGGGGGTGGCGATGGCCAGGACGAGGCGATCGCCATAGCCGCTGAGGTTGACCTTCGCTGTGAATAGATCGTGCGAACCCGACCGGGCGTCGGTCGATCCGAGTCGGCGCAGCCACTCCCACTGTCTTTCACCAGAGCTCCGCTCCACTAATTGCTCACCATGCTAGCGCTCTCGCTCGCGCTCTCGTTTGGACTTTGGCCAGCCCACCTCCACACCTGCCTACCTCCCGCGCGGCACGCCAGGACGGCCGTTCGCCTCTGTGGCACGCGTGGCCAGCTCGGCGGGCGCGTGCCGCGACCGCAGCCGGAGCCGCCGCCGCCGCCGCCGCCGCCGCGACAGCTGGCGGGCGACGAGTACGCGGACGCGCTGGCCGACGCACGGCGCGCGGCGGCGCGTCTGCGAGAGGCGGAGGAGCGGCTCGCTCGCGTGCCAGCGCCCGTGCCTCCGATGCCACGCGGCGCCCGCGCCACCGTGTCGCGATCGGACGCCGGCACGCTGCTCGTCGACGTGCCGGCGGCCGGGCTGGTGAACGGCGGCTCGCTGTTCGGCGGCGCCTTCGCTGCCGCGTGGTTCAGCGCCGTCGTCCCCGCGACAGTGAGCATGGTTGCGAGCGGAGGCGCGTCGGCCCTCTTCATGCTCCCGTTCTGGCTTGCCGGCGGCGCAGTGGTCAAGCAGACGGTGCCCGAAGCTAGAAGCAGACGGTGCCCGAACTAGAAAGCGGGGATCCAACCCGCGATCACACGCGGCGTGTCGCCAGCACCGTGCTCGCGCTGGCGTCCCCACAGCCTGCGATGGTGCTGTGCGCTGGCGGTAGGTGCTCGACCCGGCCAAGGCGACCACGCTGTCGATCGGCGCGTTTGGGTGGGAGCGGAGCCCTAGATGCGGAGCCAAGATGCGGAGGTGGACGTCCCTCCGGTGGTCCCGGCGGGCGCTCGCAGAGAGATTCGTCCTCGAGATGAGACGCGGCGATGCTGCGGAGATACACGCCGTCTTCACGCACTCTTCACCTCAGGCTCCTCCCGACGCAGGAGCTCACGCAGAGGACGGCGGGCGTCAGCCTCAAGTCCGCAGGCGGGCCGGCGGAGAGCGGCTGCAGAACCGCGTCCCTTCACGCGTCCTAGCGGTGAACAGGTCCGCCGACGGGCCGACGGAGCAGCTCGCCCTGGCGTCGGTGGACGTGGCGGTGAGCGCCACCCCTCTAACTGCTCGCAACTCCCACACCTGCCCCCCTCCAACCGCCGCCGCCGCGCCCTCGCCTTCCACAGGCGTATGTCAACGGCGTGCCCACCTTCGTGCTCAACCTGGTGGCCAATGGCCCGGGCGGGCAGCGGGTGTACCAGTTGGGCAGCGGGCTCTCGGAGCAGGAGCTCGAGTGGATCGCCGCGGAGGTCAACGCCACTCTGGAGGAGGTGGAGAGCAACCCGCCTGAGCCGCTATTGTAGACGGAGTAGAGAGTTGTCGGGGGGAGGTCTACCGTACACACAGGTCACGCAGCGGTCCGACTTGTGAATGCGTGTGAAGCTGTCTGAGGCGACTCTGTCTCCGTGTGAGTGGCCCCCCCGCGCGGACGGGTGTAGAATGGCTGAGCACATCCTATTCCGAAAATCCTTAAATCGCGCCTTGCGCCCTTATAAGCTTATATCGCGATTTTTTTCGAGGTCAGACCCATTCATGCCTGCACAGACAGAGAGGGGGGGCGGGAGGTACTGGACCGGAGGACCTATTACGCCACACGCGGCCACACGAACGAGTGGGTGCGAGGACGGCTCGGCGAGGGGCTCACGGCTGGGTCGCACACGGCAGGGGTAACGGGGCCGCTGTGGAGCGATGTGGTCAGGGGAACGACGAGACACAAATGGGACAAGCGCCAGCGGATCAAGGATCAGCACGGCGAGCGCGAGATTGATTTCGCCGACGTGGATGACCACAACGTGGTGACAAAGACCGTCATGGGAGCGCGGGTGCGGCAGCAGGCGGGGGTGCCACACGGAACGCACCACGAGAGGATCATGCGGGGAGAGGCGGGGAGGGAGACCCCGGGCGCCGCCACAAGGAGCGAACTCAGGGGCTGCCTCGTCTGTAAGGCCGCGAGGGACGCGGCGAGGAGGGCAGCACTAAAGCGGGACCCGCTGTGTCCGATCGTGCGGAAAGCCGCGCAGCAATGGACCGAGGAAGATGAGAACCCGCCTAGAGCGACAATGGCGCACGTGCTTAGCGGCGCCTGCCTGGGGAATAGGGAGCAGGCCAGATGGTTCCTCAGAGTAGCGCGAGCGCAGACAGGGACGGCGATCAGCAAAGTGGCACAGGCGGCACCCGACTCCAAGGATACGCTGAAGACGCTGAGGATGGCGCATGTCGCTGCGCTGAAGGGCTCACGCTACAGGGTGCTGGACGAGGACGGGTACGATACACTAGCCCCCGCAGTCGGGGGGGTGTTGCCAGCACTGGTAGATGACCTCTCGGAGAAGAGCCGAAGGGACCTTGGCACCGGGGTCACGAGGAACCTGCAAGTCGTGGCCGAGGCGGCGACGGGAGCGGTGCAGAGGTGGATACAGCTCAATGATGAGGCTACGGCGCGCATAATGAAGAGAGAGGAACACATCGAGTGGCTGAGGAAGCTCTTCGCTGGGTGGAAGGAGGCCCGCCCGGCCTTGAGGGAGTCGCGGAGGAGGAGGGATAACGGAGGTAACGTGCAGACAGGCCAGCAGCCAGCGGGACGAACGAGGACCGCGGCGGCAGCTCAAGCGGGAGGGAGCGGAGACAGTGGGCAGCGAGCGAAGTGGGTGAGACTGATGATGCTCCTTCGACTTAGGGAGCGGTTCCGCTGCTGGGCGAGCTTCAGGGTGGTGCTCACGCGAAAAGGAATCGACGCAATGTACAAAGCATACAAGAAGAGGCGAAAGAAGAGGAGAGGCGCCAGTGATGACGAAACAGAAGCTAGTGCAGACGAGGGCAGGTCAGACTCGGGGACGGCGGAGGCGGACCAGACGGCATCGACCGCCGAGGGAACGTTGGGAAGAGGCACGAGGAGGGCGGCGACCTCAACCGACTATGGAGGACCCGTCACCAGACGACGCAGGGCAGACGACGGTGAGGCGGAGCAGGCGCGCAGGGCGAGACGAGGGAGGGAGCAGGACGTTGCGGAGATCAGCAGGAGGATGTACGAAGAGATTAGGAGCAGCAGGGACCCGAGGGACCATGTGGAAGACGGCTAGTGCTAGTCCCCCATCGGGAGGACGACCCCGGCTAGTCGCCGACCACACCCACAAAGAACCCTGCACAAAGATCGCAAGGGCGGGGACCTGTTCCTTTTTACCCATCTCCTAGTAGAGGTGTCCGTTTTATTTATTTATTTATTTGCCTGCACCCTGGTACCACTGTGGCACGTCCGTCCGACGTCGGGTAACCGTCGCGGCATCGCCCTCGCGACTCAAGGTGCGCACAGCGTGACCGCCGTGAGCTGCCCTCCCGACCCATGTAAAAAAAATCGCCATCTCCCCTCCCGGTGAGCCGGGAGAGCGCTCCCTGCACCTCCCTGCACCCGTCTCCCCGCCACGAAAGCTCTGCCGAGAGCGCCGTTCCCATGGGCGGCGTTCCCGAAACATTCGTAGGCGCAGCGCGGCATTGCCAATGCTCCATGGACGCGGTGCAGGCGGCCCCAAGCCGAAGGGGTGGATACGTGCCGCCAAGAACGCCTTCCTAACCCACTTTGGTGTGCGCACGGGCGGTGCTCCAGTGGACGCCGCTGCCGACGGCGCCGCCGACCCGCCCGCTGCCGACCCTCCCACCGAGGAGGTCGGCGGAGCTGCGGACCCGTCCGCAGCCCGAGGCTGCCGCGGCGGCGGCAGAGGCTGACGTCCCGATGGAGCAAGCGCTGAGCGATGCCGAGCATTCATCAGATCACGAGCAGGAGGAGCAGGCGCTACGACCCGCGGTGGCTCATCGCGCAGGCCCCAGCCGGGCGGCGACCGGTCGGAAGAGCTGCAGCTGCGGCTCGGCTTTCGAGCACGACGCTCGGTGACGCGGGGCGCTCTCGGCGGCCACATGGAGGAGCGTGCGGGCCACATGGAGGACACCCCGTGCGACGAGTCTGAGGACGAGGACGAGGACGAGGACGGCGAGGCGCCCGCACCCGCACCCGCACCCGCACCCGCACCCGCACCTGCACCTGCACCCGCGCAGCGTGCAGGGAGCGTAAGGCTGCACCGCCTCGAGCACCGCCGACGCGCCCGCCAGACAGCAGTGATGACGATGGCCCATCATTGCATGCGCCAGCACCGGCGCGGGCAGGGCGGGGGGCCAAGCCGGCAGCCAAGGGGTCCGCACAGCGCAAGCCAGCAGCCAAGCCAGCGGCCATGTCGAAGCGTCAGCGACGGAAGTGATCTGTACACACTGCATGAGTATGAATCGTGTGTGTGTGTGTGTGTGTGTGTGTACTATTGTACGAGATTTGTATACATTGCGCTCTTGTTTGGGGGCTCTTGGGCAGCAGCTCACAGCCTATTTTTGGTCGGTTTTTTGGTAAAAATGCAAAATTTTCTTCGCGGGGCTCTGCCCCGCACCCCGCTGGGGCTGCCAGCCCCAGACCCCAGGCTGGGGCTCCGCCCCAGACCCCGAGTTAGGCGCTGTCGGCGGCCAGAGGCCGAGTTACGTCTACAGGCAAAAGTCGCTCGCTGCCGTCTGACTCTGAGCTCGAAAAAAATCGCGAGTTATTTGCGCCCCGGGGCGGCCCCCCGGCGTCGCGGTGTCGTGTACGCGTGTTTGAGGGGCGGCGTGCGCGCGCTACGCGTGGGCGTCCACGGTCCACCGCTTGCGCGGCATCTCAAATTCCACCAGGCTATATGTCCTAACGTCTTCTCTCTTCCACCGACGCGCGCCAAACACCCACCGGCTCTCTCTGTCTCTCTCCCTCCGCGCCCCGCACACATCTCCGGAGGCCGCTGTGAAGCCGCGTGGGGGACGCGTTCTCCAGGCTGTCCCCCGCTCGATGTGCTACGTCGCGCGCTATGTGGAGCCGATGAAGCGGTAGACGTGCTGGAAGTCCTGCGGGGCATGTCAGGGACGTGTCATGGACATGTCTAGGTCTCCCGGACGCGGCAAGAGCGGCGCGTCGCCTCGGTTTCAAACACCAGCGTCGCCTCGGCGCCTGCCACGAGCTCCGTCGGCGAGAATCGGACGATGACGTGCACCGGCTCGCCTGGGTGGTGAGCAGGCCAGAGTCAGGGCGGCCTCGTGCAGCGCACTCGGAGCAACTGCATGAGCACACGGGCTACGAACACAGGCCGTGCGTGCAGAAGAGTGGGATGCGGGTCTCTGAGTCCATGGACAGGCTATGGACAGGCTCGCCCGAGCGGCGGTTCATCGTGCCCGCGTTCGGCGTCGCGCTGAAGAGCGGGCTCGAGCCCGCCGTGAAGACGCACCTGAGGGGCGCACGCAGTCGGGCGGCGGTGGCAGACTCGGGAGGCAGACTCTCGGCCGTGTCTCGGTGGGGCGTGGCGGTGGTGTGGGGTCGCACGGTTCGCACAGCAGACTTGGCGCGGTGGCCGGCGCGGTGCAGCGGGGGTGTCGAACAGACGCATCTCGGCGACTCGGCGAACCTCGGCGAACCTCGGCGCATCTCGGCGAACCTCGGCGCATCTCGGCGCATCTCGGCGCACCGGTACGGCGCAAAAGTGTTGTACGAATTCTTGACATCGAGCTCCTGGACGGCGACGTTGCGCGGCGAGGCGCGCAGCTCGTAGGTCGCGGTCGGGGGCCTGCGGGAAGGTTCCGAGACCGTTCCGAAGGGCTCCGGGAGGGAGGGGGGGGGGGGGGGGGAGCCGCACATGGCCGGGTCGAGGGTGATTGCGCCCCACTCCTCTCCGTCAAGCCTACGGCCGAGGCGCCGGACGGCGGCTGGTCTCGGGCAACCTCGGGCGGCGGCCCCTCCCTCGCCGCTGCGCCTCTGCGCGGGCACCTTTGCGAGCTCCTGCAGGTGTGTGGCGAGGTCGGCCTATCCGGACACGGCGTGGACGTGTCGTGGACGTGGCGTGGAGGAGGAGGAGCCTCGGGCGTGGCCGAGTCTGCCTGCGAGATCTCGCCGTCCTGGACGCCGTCCCGGTGCACGCCTGGTGGTCGGGGGGGGGAAGGGGGAAGGGGACTGGGGGGAAGGGAAAGGGAGCGCCTCTCCCGCACGCACAGAGGTGGTGGGACAACGGCCGGGCAGCCCTTCGCGACTCCACGTCCAACGAAGGGGGCCCCACGGCATTCAGCTTGCAAGGCCCAGTGCGCGTGGGGGGGAGCGGTGCGTGGGCGCGGCGTGTGCGCACGCCTTGCGCCATAAAGTCGCGCGCGATGTAGACCTGGGGCGGGGGAGGGCGGGGGGCGGTCTCGTGCAGCGCACTCGGCGCATCGCGGGAGTCGAGAGCCACGAGGGTCAGCGCGGAAGGCTGCGGAACCAAGCGAGGGGGCGGGGGGGGGGGGGCTAGGCATCTGGGTTGGCGACGTTCTGCCCGCTGGTTGGCGCTGCGCCGTGGACGACGCCCTGCCCCTGCTCCTTGTTGACCTTGTGGATCGCGCGCTGGTTGAACCAGTTCTCGAGCTGCTGCGCGCGCACGCAGTCGAGCCTGCAGGGCGTGGGGCAGCGGGAGGAGGCTGGGAAGGCAAGAGGGTGCCGGCGACAGACGTGGGTGTGGGTGGGTGGGTGTGGGGGGAGGGCGAGGGCGCGGTCTCACCGGCCCGTCTTGAGGTCGTCCTCGGTGATCTCCTCAATCTTCTTGTCGGCGTACCCGGTCGAGCGCCCAAAGTAGTTCTTTCCGGCCGACGCGGTGCGCGCATCGACCGCAGACTTGACACGGCCACGGCCGACCTCCTGCGAGGCGGCCGACAAGTCCGCGATGCCGCCGCGCAGCGCGCCGAGCGTGGCAGAGTTGTGCTGGTCCTCGAGGTCAGTGTTGCCGTCGCCGACGACGCCGCCGCCCGAGTCGCCTCCGTCAAACTCCATGTCGCCGCCGCTGTCGATGAAGACCTGGATATCCGCCTTTGCCTGGTCGATCGAGCCGCCTTGCAGCTGGCCAGCTTCGCGCTGCCGCGCGTACTCCTCCCACGAGTTGCCGCTCGCGTCGCGCCTACGCGCAATGGAGCACAAGATCTGGCAAGCGGAGCCAGAGGGCCGGCGCAAGCGTTTTGATTGGAAACGCACGTGGCGTCCTGATCGGCGAGCGCGACGCGCGAGGAACGAAATGCGACCGCCGGCCGCGCCACGGGGCGCCCGCCCGCAAATAAAGCGATGCCCGCCCCCGAAAGAAGAGCTAGAGCCAGAGCCATGGTGATTACTAGACGTGGATGGGCTGTGAGAGCGCGGCCCACATTTAAGAAATTTTAAGTGGGTAGCAATCTCTTGCCGCGTAAGTTTCGCGCGCGTCGACGTCCGCGCTGTGTGTCTCGCCTGAGCTCGCCCTTGCCGCCCGAGGCTACCCGGGACCGACAGACAGTATCAAACGACGCGCTAGATGCGCTTGTGACCACGCGTCTCTCGTGATCGCGGCACGAACAGTGCTGTGTGCGGCGCTCGCCACCCTGGCGATTGTGCTGGACGGCGGACGGTGTGGTTGCCCAGATGGCCTTATGACGACCCCATTTCGACATCGTCCCTAAGGCCTCTGCTCATGAGCTCCATGCAGGAATGACTGGCTCAACCAACTGATCACAAATTCTCTCTGCAACATCGAAGTCATCAAATTATGCTGTCACGATGAAGACTTTTGGCGCTTTGTGAGATATCGTGGGAATTTGTGATCAGTTGGTTGAGCCAGTCATTCCCGCATGGAGCTCATGAGCAGAGGCCTTAGGGACGATGTCGAAATGGGGTCGTCATAAGGCCATCTCAGTGGCTACACGGCCTCCAAGTGCTCCAAGTGCTCCAAGTGCTCCAAGTGCCATCCCTCCCTTGGGCTGTCTGTGTTCTTTCTTTCTTTCGTAGCTCCCCGGCCCTCATTGTGTAATGATAGTTCCAAGTGCTCCGGTCCCGTTTGTCAGCCCTCTCAGCGCCGCGCTGCACGCTCACCCTCGCCCTTGCTTGCAAAATCGCAAACCCCGTCAGCAATCCTACAACAACAAACACAAACAGAATCCAGACACAATCTGTCAATCTCTCTCTCTCCGCAGCAGTCCTCCTCCGGGAATGTACGTATAAGAGCTACATACACTGAAAATCCCTCAGGGGGGAGGCGGGGCCCCCCGGAGGCACCGTGCGCCGCGCAGTGCGGAAACGGGGCTCCGGCTCCGTTAGTCTCCGTTAGCATCGACTTCCCGATTAAGCTAGGTTAATCAGAGGGCAGATTTGGAAAGATCTCGAGGAGTACATACAGACAGACCCTCCAGTCATCAGAAAACTCCAACCTGATCGGTCGCGTACTGACCGCCGACAGATCACTCCAGACAGCAGACAGGCCAACGTCTGCACGCGGCCGGCCGGGCGAGAGGCTTGACATGATCCGACCCTGCGACCCTGATGCTGCTGCTCTAGCTATCAGACATGCGCTGCTGACTGCTGCCACCATGTGCGACCGGTGCTGACCCACTTGGCGGCCTTCCCGGTCAGTGGTGAGGCGCAGTTCAGAGCTGTCGATGGCGCGATGCCGCACTGGTCCCACATTGGTGACACGAGACCACCACGTGTTTGCCGGTCCAAGAGAGAAGCACCGGCGCTGTCGTGAGAAGGTGCCATGGTCCCTCTTGACTGCCCATGCGCGCGAGGCTGTGTAGGCATAGCCTCGAGAGTGCCAGCAGCCAATCCGAGGCAGTTTGTGACGCGCATTGCGTCAGAAGCGTGCACGCGCTGGCGCCGAAAGGATGTCGCAAGGCGTGATAGCATGGACCATGGTCGCTACGCGAAATTCTCATAAAAACAAGTAGAAATCGCGCAAAAAAGAAAAAATCGCGAAATCGGCGCCTGCGGTGAGCCATGGGACCCCATCTCCCCCCCGCATGGGTACCCCATAGGGGCCCCGCCTCCCCCCAGAGGAAAATCCTGCAAAGCGCAAAGGTGGGCGGACGACCGGACGTGTCTGTCCTCCCCCCAGGCCCCAGCCCTAGCTTGGCTCCTGGCTTGGTCTGTCCGTTTCGCCGTCGCCTCCCTAGTCCCTTTCTTTTTGCCATTTTTGTCCGTTCCTGCGACGATTATGCTTTATGGGTTTTAGGCGTAGACCGTAGAGCGTAAGTCTACGCCCTTTACGACGATTATCTTGGTACTTGGAGCGGACTTGTGGAGTGCAGTTGGTTTGTTGGTATAAACCCGCTGTGATCAGTGACACTGACAGTCTGAACTTTTAAACAGTGAGATCTCTCTGGACTCCTGCGCGACGATTTCTCCTTGTCTTTCTTTTCGAAACGCGCGTAGGGAATAATACCGCCAGCACGCCCGCCCTACCTGCCCCCTGGCCGGAGCCAAACCGAGCTGTCCAGCAGCGACTGCGCGCTCACGCTGCCCGCCGCCGCGGGCGTGTGGCAATCGACGAGGCTCTGAAGCAGGTCCCAGCCGGCGCCGCCGCCCTCGTCGAGCAGCGCCACCGCCGCCTCCCACCCCGGCTCCTCGGCGCAGTAGTCGCGGAAGCCGCGCGCGACGTCGTCGCTGAAGACGTCCTCGACGAGCCGCTTGAGCTGCTGCAGCTCGGGCGGCGGCCGCACGCCTCCGCCTCCGCCGGCCGGGCGAGGGACGAGGGCGGAGAGGACTAGCTCGAGGAGGACGTAGCCGAGCCCGTGCAGGTCGTACAGGGTGAGGAGCGGCAGCACGCCCGTCGGGCCGCACCCGGCCTGCGCGGGCAAGGCACCGGTTGGGGGGGGGGGAGGCACCGGCCGCCACCGGCACCGGTTAAGGGGGGGAGAGAGGCCGCCGGAGCGCGTCGACATTCTCTGCCCGCCCGTCTGTGTCAATCTCCCACGGAGCGGTGGGCGGCCTGGGCAGCCACTGTACGACCCGCGCGCCTGCCGCGCATCGCCGCCGCAATCTCTCCGAGCACTCCGCTCGGGTACTCTCGAGCGCTCTCCGCCACGCTTTTGGGGACTCTCCGGGCCGCGCCCCGCGCGCCTGCCGCATCGCCGCCGCAATCTCCTCGGCAGAGAGGAGTGCGGGCGTGGCGGCGAAGCCGAGGTCGACGAGCGTCACGCGCAGCCGCGCCGCCTCGCGCTGCTCGTACGTCGACACCTATTCCCGCGCCGTATCGCGTCACCCCGGCCAACCTCGCGCCGCCTCCGCGCCGCGTCGGCACCAGCAGCGACGAGGAGCCGAGCGAACGGTGCGCGACGCCTAGAGTGCGCGTGCAGGGGGGAAGAGGTGAGCGAGCGCACACCAGGGGCCGCTGTGCTCAGCATCAAGACCACACGCATCTAGACCGCAGCATCTAGACCGCCTCGCCCGCCGCGTGCAGCGCTGCCAGCGCGCGCAGCGACTCGCGCGACGCGGTGCGCACCCACTCGCGGCGCGCCTGGGCGGCAGAGGCAGCGAGGGCGGTGGCGGTGGAGGCAGGGGCGGCAGCGAAGAGAGAGGCTGCGGCGCGGGGAGAGGCGGTACGGAGAGCAGAGAGAGAGAGAGAGAGAGAGAGAGAGAGAGAGAGAGAGAGAGAGAGAGAGAGAGAGAGAGAGAGAGAGAGAGAGAGAGAGAGAGAGAGAGAGAGGGAGAGAGGCAGCCGTGAGCTCAGGCGCCTGCGCGGCGCCCCAGTCGAAAAGCCCCGCCAATCCCGCCGGTGGCTGCTCCACGCGCGCGAAGCCGCCGATGGTGCGGAGCGGCACCCACCGAAAGATGAGCCAGAGCCGGCCTAGCCAACCACTGACCCGCTCGTCAACGCCGCAAGAAGAGAAGCTGCACTAGCGCAGCTTCCGCCGGCCGTGGCTGGGCCGGGGAGACCGGGGGGTGGGCGGGCGGGCGGGCGGGCCTGCGGCGGGCGGAGGGACGGCGAGGCCAAAGGACGCCTCCCACGCCTCTCGGAAGCCTCTGGTCTCAAACGCCTGTAGGGCGTCGGCGGTATGGCCTCTCGGGCGGTGCCTCGGAGGTGTCTGCGAGGTGTCTGCCGAGGTGTCTGCCGAGGTGTCTGCGTCTTTGCGTCGGGTGTCTTTGCGGGCTCGCCTCGTCCGAGATCATGTGACCGCAGAGCGTCCCCACGCTGAGGTCCGGCGCGCCTCCCGCCTCCTCCTCGAGGTGCCGGTACACGGCCAGCTCTCTCTCTCCGATCGCGCGGGCCTCCGCGCCGAGAAATTCCTTGAGGAGCGAGCGGCTGCCGTCGGCCAGCCGCGCCTCAAAGAGGCGCACCGATGCGCCCGACGCCTCGACCGTGCGAGAGGGCTGGCTCGGATCGAGCGGGTTCCGCTTGCCGCCCGCATACTGCCACTCAGTCTCCGTGGCGAAGCCGAGCTGGCCGACCTGCCGCCGGATGGTGATTGAAGACGGGCGGAACACGCGCAGCCCGTCGCCGCCGCTGAGGAATGCAAGGTAGAGCAGCTTAGTGGCGGTGTGGAGATGCATCGAGCTGAAAGTAGTATTGGTGCCAAGCACACGGCCCGACAGCCAACCCCACGCGGCCCACGCTTTCTTTTTCTCGGTTTTCGCCTTATTCTAAAACTTCAAAGCTTTCTTTTTCGTCGTCTCCTTCGTAGTTACTCCTTGTTTCTAAAACCATTGGTCGTCATCGCAAACCCTTTTAGCAGAGTCCTCCGCTTCGGGAATTAAAGAGCCACGTACATTGGAGAGAGAGAGAGCGCGCCATCCTCGATCGCCGTGCAAAGCTCGCTTCCAAGCTCTCACGCCGCGCGTAGGGCCGTTAGAGAACAGGTGATCGGAGCCCCCCGAGGACTCCGCGAGCAGGAGCCTGCTTGCAGGAGCCTGCTTGAAAATGCTGATCCTCGCACTCGCCCTGATCCCGTCTCCTCGTGCGACGCTGCGCACCAGAGGCGCGCGCATGGGCTTGAACGAGGCGTGGAAGACAGAGGCGGCTGCAGCCCGCGCCGCCTTCGCCGCCCGGGAGCAGAGCCGCACGAGGAAGAAGGGCTCGGTGGCGCAGCTAGACGCGTCGAACTTTGCATCGTCGCTCGCGGCCGTGGAGAGAGTCGGCGTCGTCAAGTTCTTCTCTCCACAGTGCCCTGCGTGCCGCCGCCTAGCGCCGGTCTACGAGGCGGCGGCCAAGCGCTTCTCCGGCCAGGCGGACTTCTTCGAAGTGAACTACAAGCAGGCGCAGCAGGTCTGCAGGGAAGAGCGCGTGCTGCTGCTGCCGATGGTGCACCTGTACGTGCCTCGCGCCGGCTGCGTCGACCGGTTCGTGCTCAGCTACAAGCGTCGGAAGCGGCTCGAGGAGAAGCTGGACGGTTTGCTCGCAGGGGAGGGGGAGCGGCTGGACCGGCTGAGGGAGCTCGACCCGGCCGCCCTGGCGCCACTCGTGAGGCTCAAGGAGCTGCTTGGCGCGGTGCAGGCGGTGCGGAGGGCGCCCGAGCTGCTGCGCGGCGCGGCGGGCGACGGCTGGGTGACGGAGCAGCAGACCGAGGAGATGCAGTCCGTCTTTCGCGCGCTCGACCGGAACGGCGACGGCGTGCTCGACGCGGAGGAGCTGGCGGCGGCGTGCGAGGCGCTGGGCATGCCCTTCTCCTCGGAGGAGGAGCTGCGGAGGGTGGTGACAGCGGCGGACGGCGACGCGAGCACCGACACGGTGGTCGCACCCCGTTCCTTGATGGAGCCCGTGCTGAGCTGCCCTCTGGAGGGTGGAGTGTGGAACTAGGTGGACGAGCGCGCGTTTTTGCGGCTGATGGCGCGGCGCGCGAGCGAGGAGAGGCACCGCGCCCGCCGTCTCGGGACAGTTCCCGGACCTCTGCCGGACCATCTCCAGGCGCGCGAGCGAGGAGGTGACCGACGCCGACGCGCTCCTCTCCTCCTTCCGCGCGCTCGACGTCGACGGCAACGGTGGCACCCCACCCCTCCTCCCAAAGACCCAGAGATGAGCTCGCGGCAGAGTCGACCCGACCCGCCCCTCCGGCCAACCCTCCCCGCCCCTCCGGCCGCTCTCGACGTGCACACACGCCCTCAGCTCACAGCTCGCACCCTTCTCGGCACAGCCCCCATCGACGCCGTCAGGTCTTCTGGACGCGGGTGAGCTGCTCGAGGCTTTGAGCGGCGTCTCGCTCGCCTTGGGCGGCGAAGAGGCGGCCGGAGGCGCAGTGAGTCGCGCCGGCATCGAGGCGCATATGTCGCGGCGCCCAGCTCGATCTCGGCGGACGCCTCTTGGACTTGTTCCGCGCGTGCCTATAGGAGCTGCTTCGTGCCTTTGGAGTCGATGACGAGTCCGGGTCCGTCGACTACGAGACTTTCGTTAGCATGGTGGCCGGCCGGGGCTCATAGAACGAGCTGCCGCAAAACGCGTGAATGACAATATCGCATGCTCCCTGTGAAGCACGCGTCATCTAGAGGTAGAGCAAACCTAGAGGCTAGAGTGCTGCAAGCCTGCAAGACCTGACAGAGTGGGCTGTCGTGTCCAAGGAGCAAGGTGGGCGAGACTCTCTCGTAATTCGCAGAAAAATGAAAAATGCGCACCGGGTATTGGTTCTTGGTTGGGTATTTGCGATGAAAAAACAAAAAGCTGTTTGGGCTTTCGCACCCAGCCCGCAGCCGGCACACACCACGCTCTCTGATTATTCTATAGCTATCAAGAATCAACTCAAATTTATCCTGTGAGCTGTGAGAAAGAAGGAAAACAAGAAGCAAAAAAGTTTCGATGGTCCGCCCCGGCGTGGCGACATAACGTGGCCACTATAACAACGCTCATCAATTGTAATGAGCCTGTATTTAGTTGCTGAAGGTGTTTGCATCTTGGCGACGGATGATAGAAGTGGGATCGCCACGATCCACCGCTGCTGTCCAATGCACCCAGCCCTGATCCACGTTGCTGCCGTTGGTGTTTGCCAGCCCCACTGCTGGGCCAGTACCGTGGCGTGGAGTGAAAAATGTAGCAGGTGGGACAACTGCCGCAGCTGCACCCCTCAATGCTCTCCGCCGCTGGCGCCGCCTGCGCCGCCTCCACGGCCTCTGCCATCTACGCCGCCTGCACTGACTCTAGCCTCGTTGCCGTGTCAGCGTCACTGCCTCGTCATGACCCAGTCATGGACAGGTTCAGAAGGGCAGACGGGCAAGTGCCAGTGGGTTCAATGCCGCGGCTGCACTGCCTGCTCAACCCCTGTGTGCGGCCCCTTTTGCCTGGAAAACAGCAATCCGTGGACCTACAAGTGCAATTGGGAGGCGTGTAGCGGCTGCGCTCCCGCTTGCACTACCAGCCCGCCGCCGCCGCCGCCGCCGCCGCCGCCGCCGCCGCCGCCGCCGCCGCCGCCGCTACCGCCGCCGCCGCCCTCGCCGCCTATGTCGCAGTGCGGTCCCTTTTGCCTGGAAAACAGCAATCCGTGGACCTACAAGTGCAATTGGGAGGCGTGTAGCGGCTGCGCTCCCGCTTGCACTACCAGCCCGCCGCCGCCGCCGCCGCCGCCGCCGCCGCCGCCGCCGCCGCCGCCGCCGCCGCTACCGCCGCCGCCGCCCTCGCCGCCTATGTCGCAGTGCGGTCCCTTTTGCCTGGAAAACAGCAATCCGTGGACCTACAAGTGCAATTGGGAGGCGTGTAGCGGCTGCGCTCCCGCTTGCACTACCAGCCCGCCGCCCCCGCCGCCGCCGCCGCCGCTGCCGCCACCGCCGTCGCCGTCGCCATCGCCGCTACCAAGGCAATGAAGACACCCTTCTTCATCGGCGCCGGCTACAACCGCCCACACCTTCCCTTCGCGTGCCCCAAAAAGTGCGCCGCAGCCACTCCCGCCTGCGCGAGAGACACGCTTTCTGCCAGGAGGGCTCCAGACGCCGGTGCTCACTCGCCTGTAAACACGCCCGGCAGGTACTGGGACATGTACAGCGCCTCCGATATCTTCCTCGCACCAAATCCGTGGTTACCTGTCGGGGCGCCGCCGCGCTCCGTACACTATTTTGAGCTGCTCTCGTACAACGAGATCGAGCGGGGCGACTACAACGCGGGGAGCGGCGGGCCCAACGGCGGCCAGCGGAACCTGCCTGAGGGCCTCTCCCGTGAACTCATTCACGGCTACTACGCTTGCATCACGTACGTCGACACACTCATTGGTGAGCGAGTGTCTTTCGTGCTCGGCAGTCCATCACGCAAGCACGCCCGAGGTTGACCGACCCTACCTTGTAGGATATCTCATCGACGAGCTCAAGGAGCGGCAAATGTACGACGAGACAATCATCACCTTTGCGAGCGACCACGGCTATAAGCTCGGCAACAAGGGCTCGTGGGCGAAGCACACGGTGTACGAGACCGACCTGCACGTGCCAATGATCATCAAGGCCCCCCCAGACTCCTACACGCTCTCTCTCTCACTCTCTCGAACGCGCGCGCGCGCGCGCCGCGCGCGGCACACACACACACACACGCCCCCCCCCCCCCCCACACACACACACACGCACACACGCACGCACGCACACACAGGTACGCATCGCCTCCCGCCATCACCGCCCAACACGCTCGCTCTCAGGCTCCCGGCTACCTGCCGTCGCGCATTCCCGCGCTCGTGGAGAACATCGACCTCTACCCGACCATCCTCGACCTTGTTGGTGTGCCTGTGCCGCCGCATGTCCAGGGTAGGTCGATGAAGCCGCTGATGATAAACAAGAATGCCACCTCGAAAACCGCTGTCTTCGCGCGGTGCGGACGCGGCGCCGGCCGGTGCATTGCCGGCACGGCACCCTAACGGATACACCTCGCCACATAGGTACCTGGATGCCGATACTATCCGCTATCGCGACATGCAGTTTTCCGACTTTTGCAAGGGGAAGCACTGCTACTCGGCCGAGACTTGCAGCAGGGACTGCCGCCAGACGCACCCGACGGAGTTTATGCTATTCAACCACACCGTCGACCCGCTGGAGGATGAGAACGTCGCCAAGCAGGACGCCTACTTTGGCGTGGTGCAGGAGATGCGGGCGGCGCTCCAAGTACACAAGCGATCTCGCGGGCCGCCATTCGAAGACTATTATATCTAAGCCGCCGCGATGCGCTGCCCCCCCCCCCCCCCCCTGCCCTCCCGTAGCAGACTTGTCAGGTGGAACGTTTTAGAATTCTTCCATGTGCCATCTGAGACTGCTGACATGTTGACTGCTGCGTTTTGCCGTTGCGCGTAGAATAAATTTAATGCATGTAAAAACGAACAGCTGTGAGATGGGGGTAAACGGAGCTTTTGGTGGCCCCCCGCGCTCATGTGCCCGTCTTTGACTCTTTGTGCAGGGTTCCCTTGATGTTTTGAAGCCTGGGGCGCGAGCTGTGGCTTAGTGTGTGCGTTCACGTACACCGTAGAAAGTTTTTTCTCGGCGTTGGCGTGCGGTGCGGTGCGCGTGTGCGCGGCCTCGGCCTGCGCCTAGATTGTAGACATATGGGGCTGGAGCGCCGACCCGAGACGACGGGGCGGGGGGGGGGGGGTTCATAGAGCCGTATCTGAATCTCGGAAGGGTATGGGAGATCTTTTCCACTGCTCAAACAGAATCATTATATATCAGCAACAACTCGGGCGTAGCAGTGTTCGAGATACACAGATGTGTGCGAGAGCGTTTCTAGACACTGACAGTGGCCTCGTCGCCTTCGTCGCACGCCTCTGCCAATGCTCGCTGGGTGGAGGAAGAAAAAAGACGTTGCTGCCGCGCTCTGCTCAGCGCGCTGCTCCCCGCGCTGGATGGCTCCTTTCGACCCGGCGACAGAGCACCCATGAGCGAAGCGATTGGGTTGGCGACCAGCACATCCTCCGATTGCGAGCTCGGCACTGTCAGCGGCGGCGGCGCCGCCGCATCGACCCGCACCGTCCAGGGAGGCGAGGGGTCGGCACTCGAGTGCGGACGCGAGCCCGAGCCCTTCTCCTCGCCCGCCACGGCTATCGTGCCATCCGAGTCGCCCGAGGCGGGCGCGGCCGGCGGCGGCTTGGTCACCGAATCGCCACTCGCCTCACGTGCGAACGAGCTGACACGGCGCGACGGGCTCTGGCTGAGCGCCGCCGCGGGCGACGAGTGGCGGCCAGATGTGATGAGCCAGACGCCGAGAATAGCGAGCACCACACCGCTCAGAAACATGGCCAGCTGCGCGCCTCGGACGGTTTCAAACTCGTTGAAGACGAGTGCGCCGCCGACGATGGACATGAGCATGAAAGTGCAGTAATAGACGGGCACCGTCTCCGAGTTGCCAAAGAACTGCATCGCCTTGTTGAGGTAGTAGGCGGACCAGACTGCGGTGACGATGATCACGACGAGCAGCAGCCAGAAGAACCAGTGCGCGAGGGTCTGAGAGCATGGCGGCCGCAGCACGTCGTCGACGCAATGCTCGGCGGCGCAGTCACTTGCCGCCTGCACGAGCGACGGGTGAAGTCAGGTGTGTGACGGGCGAGGCCGAGGGCTAGCTCACGTGCGCTAGAACGGTGGCGAGCGGCGGGGTGCGGGGCCGGCAGGCCACCTGGGTGACAAGGGAGGAGAAGCCACGGCATGCGACCACCGTCATCGAGGAGATGACAGAGCACAGCGTCAGCCAGACGAGGATGTGCCGCTCTGCATACCTGCAGAGGCCGATTCGCGGCGGTGAGGCGGTGCCGTGCGGGGGGGCGGCGGCGGCGGCGGCGGCGGCAGTGGCGGTGGCGGCAGCGGCGGCGGCGGCGGCGCGAGGAGTGTGCCGATGAGCGTCAGCGCGCCTCGGCTCGACAAAGATGACGAGGACGGCGATGACAACCACGAGCGCGCTGAGGTAGACGTACGCGCGTGGCGCGAGGAACACCTCTGCGGAGAGCATGACCTGCACCGTCAGTTCCTTTTCTGTTTCCGGAACGCCGAAGATGATGAGCACGACTCCAGCGACGACGCCGCAGATGCCTCCGAGGTCGCGCTTGCGGCCTTGCTCCTTGAGGCAGCAGACTGCAATAATCTGATTGACGACGACCCCAACGGAGCCGACAGACGCCACAACAGCCGCGGGCGCCAGCCCGTAGGCCAACATGTTGCCGACCTCCCCCAGAGCGTTGAGCGTGATACCCACCCACCAGAGAGGCAGACGAATGAACGCTTTCGATGGCCTCCCGGTCTGGCGGTCCGCGTTTCGATTGTGCGCGATCTTTTGCGTGTTGAGAGAGATTGCGATGATGACATCAGCGATGACGGAGAGTATCACGCCGGCCCAGAAGGTGTGTGGCACTGAGTCGTCCGAGCTAGAGACGGTGTCGAGCTCGCCCGACGACGACTCGTTGTGAAACAGGCATGCAAACTCCAGACCGTTGACTCGAAACTGAGCCATCTTGTGGCTTCTATCGACGTCTCGAGGTGGTTATCCTTGGTCCCCTTGAGTCGGGAGGGCGACCGCACTCCGGCAGGAGCCTGCGTTGGTGGCGGCAAGGAGCCCGCACTTCGGATGGGCTAAAGTAAAAAGAAAAACAATTCACGGACTGGACCTGAGCAACGAAAGAACTTGGCGGCAAATGATCGCAGTGGGCGTCAGAAGAGTCGTCCTTGCGCGAGGAGAGCTCGATAAACTCGAGGGCCCAAAATATGCCGCGAGCAGGGCAGAGTTGCCCCGAAAGGCGGGAGAAGCCGCGAGAGCAAGGGATCGGCAGGCGGCGGCGGCGTCGCAGGATGAGGCAGTGCAGACGAGAGCGACGCGACAGAGGAGGAAGCGACAGGAGGGAGGACGACGAGAGTTGGGGCGACCGCGAGGTGGCATGAAGGTTGCAGCGAGAATCGGCGAGGGACTGCGAAGGGAGATAGAAAGAGGCAGACGCCCAAGGGTTAGGGTGGGCGACGGCTAGCACCACACTCCTCTCCTTAAAATCCCTGTGTGGTGGCGGCGTGCCCGCGTGCCGTCCTCCCATCCCTCCCTTGGGTTGTCTGTTTTCTTTCTTTCTTTTCACCTTTTTTGTTTGTTTGCTGAAGTAGACAGCTGTACGCTTATCTCTCTTCTTCTAGACTGTGGAGCTGTTACGCAAAAACACAACCCCGGAGGCAGCCCGGAGGGCCCCGCTATTTTTTAGGAGCCACGACAAGAAATCTAGGGCTCCTGCCCGAGAAGGTCGCGGGACCTGCGCAGAGCTCGCTCTGCGTGATGCCGCTCGAGCTTGGGCGTGCGCGCAAGCAAACAACTGGGAAGTTCACAGCTGAGCTTACCCCGAGAACTCCGTTCTCACCCATTATGGGAGTATTGGCCGGGCGCGATGGAGCCAACGTCGCGCTGCTACGCCGTCAAGATCTCGCTCTGGGGTGAGCACCGACCCGCGCGGGTGCGCGAGGGCCTTCGCTGGCTGACTGAGCTTGTGCTGCCGTCGGTAACGGCGGCGGCCGCCTTCCACCGGCACACACAAGCAGGTCACCCGTCGGCCTCACACGACGCCCTTGTGCTCCTCGGCGGGACCTACTCGTCCAACCGAACAGAGGCCCAGCTGGACGCCGCCGCGCTCACGTGGCCGAGCGGTGCTGCGCACGTCTTCAGGAGCGGCGCGGCCGCGGCGGCGGGGGCGCGGCAGCTACTCCTGCAGCGGCGCCGGTGTGGGTGGATCACATTCGTGCGGCTCGACGCCGACGACATGCTGACGCAGGCCGCCTTCCGACAGATTGAGCGGTCGGCGCCGTCCCTCCCGCGAGGCGACGTGCTGCTTCACGGCGCGCACCGCGTCGATCGCATCACGCTCTTCAGCGAGCCCGGCCGTGTGGGTGGCGTCGTAGGGAGCGGACTGCTGCACTGCGCGTGGGACGACGGCGGAGGCTCCTTCCAGCTGTCGCAGGGCCAGTCCGTCTCGCTGGAGGCGAGCCTGTGGCGCTCGCTCGGCGCGCCGTACGAGGTGCACGGCCACCACGTCCACCTGCAGAAGATCTGGCGGCAGAGGTTGCTGCCGCTCAACGAGCAGCTGCGGCGCGCGGCGCCGCCGCGGCCGCCCCACCGAGTGCGCACGGCGACGCTGGAGCGCGCCGCCATCTACCTCAAGACCTTTTTGTCGGGCTCCTTCGTCAAGGAGAGGCTCGCACGCGGGAGCCAGCCGCAGCGGGCGCTGCGCCGCGCCGCCGCCGGCTGCGACAGAGCGCTCGTGGAGGCGAGGGTCGGCGCAGCCAACGCGGCGCTCCTCTTCCGCGTCCGCCCGCCGGCTCTGACCGGGGCGGACGCGAGGCAGGTCACGGTGCTGATGGGCAGGTTGTGACGGGAGGAGCGTCGCGCTCGCTCGCTCGGCGGCTTCGGCGTGTCTTACTGTATGTTCATATTGGTGGGAAGATGTGGGAGAGAGAATTTTACAACGAAACTCCCTCGCACAACACTGGGCACGGGACTGGCGCGCACTGGCACTAACACAGGTACACCACTGGGAGAGAGAAGTAGGAGAGAAAAGAGCGCGCGAAGTTACCTGTTACGAATCTCGAATGCGAGAGGCTTGGTTCGCTGTCTTCAAATTTTCTCTCCCACACATGGTGGCCAAATGCCATGCTGGTTGCTGCATGCACAGCCACCTCTCTCACAGATCCGATGGAGATCCTCTCGAGACTCGACTCGTCTTATCTCTTAAACAAAAATTGAAGAGGATTCCCCAGGTAGCCGACTGAGGGAGGGTGTAGAGGATGTAGAGTGTAGAGCGCTGTAGAGCTGTAGAGCTGTAGAGCGCTGTAGAGCTGTAGAGCTCTACATCCGCCGCGGGACGAAGCGCCTGCGTTGTAGAGCGATGTAGAGGCGCTCTACAACGTGAAATCTCTACAACAAACTCTAGATCAAAAGCGGCGAACGAGGACGGTCGCTCTCCGACATGAGGCGCGTTGCACTTGCCAGTGCTGCCCTGGCCTTCTGTCTGCCCGCCCAATGGGTGGCAGGTGCCTCTGCTGCTGTGGCATGCCTCACGGCTGCGACTGGCCGGCGCCTCGGCGCGTCAGCTCGGCTCGGCGTAGCGATCGTGGCCAGCGCAACTCGCCTGGACTCAACGCTCAGCCAGGAGCTCCCGCACGCGCTGGCGCGAGGCATGGCGCATGCAACGCGCAGCAATGCTCGCCTCGCCTCGCGCAAATGCGACCGTCCTCGCAGCCGACAGTCCACCGCCTGCTACAGAAGCACTGCGACGAATGCGGCACCGGCGACGCATGGCAGGCTGGTCATGACGCAGTTATAGGGTGTTGTGTGCCGTCAGAGTGACTCTCTGTGTGTCAGGGATAGTCAGGGCCGTCCATCAGAGCTCCAGTAAGCTCGGAGACACCCCATTAGCGCGGCTCGACCTCTTTGAGTCACTGCCTTCCCGCGGTTTTGCTGTAGAGCCTCTACAACAAACTCTACAACAAAATCGCGCTCTACATCGCTCTACAACGCAGGCGCTTCGTCCCGCGGCGGATGTAGAGCTCTACAGCTCTACAGCGCTCTACAGCTCTACAGCTCTACTGTGTGCGCTCTACACTCTACATCCTCTACACCCTCCCTCAGCCGAGCAAAAAGAATTCGGCGGTTAGTGGTGCACTAACCTCCGAGAAACCCTTCGGGTCGCTCCTCATCGCAAACCCTGTCAGCAGAGTCCTCCTACGGGAATGTACGTAAGAGCTGCGCGTCTCGCGTCCCGGTGCTCCGCTGCGCTGCGGACCGCGTCCGCTCTGACGTGGGACTTGGCGACTTCTCTCTCTCCCTGCAACGCGCGCACTTTAAGACCCACTTTGACTTTCCCCGCCGGCTCTCTCTCCGTCTCTCCTCTCTAGGGCGCTGCTGAAAGTTACGAGCGGGATAAAGCCGTATCGGTCACAGCGTTCCGTGGGGCGTGGCCCGTGGCGAGGCCAATAGAGTGACCTTGATGATTTCGCGGACCTGGGAGAGTTCTTCAAGCACGCTTAACAACGGTCTTGCTCTTTGGAGTTTCCCATACCCCCCTCCGTGCCATGGGCAATGTGCAGTGGTGGATCAACCTGTACGCGCGCACCCGCACATGGATCGTGGCCGAGGACGAGGACGGCGTCGAGTTTTGCTTGGGTCACGTGCGTCAGTTCCACGGCACGGACTCGACCGCCGTGCCGGCCGACGACGCCAACGGCGGCCTTGCGGGCACGGACGTGCAGGGCGCCGCGCTGCGCGCGGCGGGTGAGTGGTGCAGGTCGTTCCTCCGTAGCTCTACGCCGCTCACGTCGCCGGTGCTGTCTCTAGGCGTCCCGCGCGGTGTGGTGCTCAACAGCATCACGCTCGGCCCGCCAGGCAACGGCCACACGAACACCGTCGTGACGTCGTGGACGGCGGGCGACTCGTACCGTATGCTCATCCAGTGAGCGGTAGGAGAGGGGGGTGGGGGGGGGGGGGGGGGCACTTGCACCGGCAGTGCACCGTGTGCTCATACGTACTCTACGCAGTGACGTGGCTCAGCAAGACGAGAGGAAGGATGGGTGCCGAGGCGTCGCCTAGCCCCAGCGGAGCCTGTCTATGTCGGGACGGTCGTCAGTGCCGGGCCATTTGGAGCTCTGGCAAAAACCCAGCGTTTCTTGTTTCTCTCCTCTCATCGCCTCACTAGGTCCAGAGCGGCAGCGGGCCCGAATTCTCTTTCAGCCTGCCGGCACCAAAAAGAAACACGGAAGGCATCGCGAAGCTGCCCAGGCGTCTTGATGCTCTAGTTTCTTGTTTCGCTGCCTCTCGTGCCTCAGAGGTCCAGGCGCCTAGAGCATAAAATAAGAAAATGCCGCGCAAGACAGCTACGACCCTGCTCTGGCGCTTGTAGCTTCCCGTGCCTACATGTAGACCTTCGGTATCAAAAAGAAATACGGAAGACCTCGCGTGCCAGGTGGCGTTTATTTTTGCTTGGCCTTGGGCGGGCCTCATGATGAAATTCTTCCAAAACCCTGGCCGGCCCCTGCGGTGCCCCTACCTACCTAACCTACCTACCTACTTATTTGTGACATGGGAGGCCAAAACAAAAACTCTCTGGGAGGCCACTCTCAAGCCCTACAAGCATCAGATCACCCATTTGGGGAGGGTTGACATCGTGATTTCCGCCGAAAATTTCTTTTTCTGCTGTGAAAATTCCAGCTTGAAGAGAGGGAAAAACCCGACGGGAGGGCCAGACCTACCCTACCTACCCGGTCATGATACCCGAAAGGGCAAAAATAAACGCCACCTGCGCGTGCCGTGCTTCAGAGGTCTAGGCCCTAGGGGGCCTCAGCGCACGCACGCCATGCGATTGCTCCCACGCCGCGCGCTGCGCTGGCCTGCCGCGCGCGCTCTCTCTCCTCTCTGAGGCGCCGGGGAAGTCGCCGCCGCGTCCATCGGGTCATTTCGCCGCGCCCGCCCTGCTCGCAGGAGTTCGGCGCAGGGCGGCAGCAGCGATGGGTCGGCGCCCCTTCAAGGCGCGCGCGCCGCACGTCGCAGCCCCTTCGTATCGCTTCAGACGCGCCGCACGCGCGCCGGGCTCTCCAAAGGGCCCGACCGGGCCCAGCCGTGAACATGGGAGATGGCGACGTCCACGTCCACCCATGAGTCCGCCGCTCCCTCTGCCTGCAGTGCTATCGGTACCAGAAGAACAAGCCGTACCCAAAGTCGCGCTTCAACCGCGGCGTCCCTGGTGAGAGGGACCCCTCCCCCCGCCTCGCTGCCGCCGGGACGTCGCGCCTGGGGCATTGGGACTCTGCCCCGCTCCCGCTGTGCGAGAGCCAACCCCGCCCGCCCCGCCGCGCGCGCGCGCGCAGACCCGAAAATTCGCATCTACGACGCGGGCAAGAAGAAGTACCCCGTTGACATCTTCCCGTTCGCCGCGCACATGGTGTCTGTGGAGAAGGAGCAGCTCTCTTCCGAGGCGCTCGAGGCGGCGCGTGTGGCGTGCAACAAGTACATGGTGAAGAACGCGGGCAAGGAGTCCTTCCACCTGCGTATCCGTGTGCACCCGTGGCACGTGCTCCGCATCAATAAGATGCTTTCGTGCGCCGGCGCGGATCGGTTGCAGACGGGCATGCGCGGCGCGTTCGGCAAGACGTACGGCACGGTTGCGCGCGTCGAGATTGGGCAGATCCTGCTCTCGGTGCGCGCCCGCGACGTGCACAAGCCGCAGGTGCTCGAGTCGCTCCGCCGCGCAAAGTACAAGTTCCCCGGCCGGCAGCGCCTCTGCGTCTCCAACAACTGGGGCTTCACGAAGCTGCCTCGCGAGCGGTACGAGGCGCTGCAGGCCGAGGGCCGCCTCGTCAAGGACGGTATCAACGTGAAGGTGCTCGCGCCGAAGGGGCCGCTCGACTCCCGCACGCTGTCAAAGCTGCCGCTCTCCATGCTCGGCGACTGAATGCGCCGAACGACTAGCGGGCGATGGCGTATAGCCGAGAGAGTGGATAGGACGGTTCTGGCGCGACGCACATCATGTTATGTGCGTCTTTTTGAGTCTTGCGTAGTACCACCCATTGAAAAACCATAAACCCACAGTAGATGAATGTCCCTTACTTAGCATACCAAACCTCTATATTGCAATAGTCTCCGCCGCCCGCCCCGCGCTTGCCCCGTCGCCGTCCGCCGCGGTCCCCGCGACATGCGATAGACAACCGCGGGGCCTGGGGCGGGCGGGGGCAGAGAGCTCGGGGCCGGCGGGCCCGGCCGGCGGTTCGCGGCGCGGCGCGCACACGCCTTATTAATTTTCCCTCTCTCGCCCCACGGCAGCGGCCCGCGCCCGGTGCAGCCACACAGCCCACACACATATGTCAGTGATATGTGTGATCGGTATTGTGCGAGAGAGCGCGGTTGCGGCCGCGGCGCCCGCTCGCATGCTACAGCGCACACTCTCTCTCAGGCACACGCGCAGCTGCCCCCTCTCGCGTGTGCTCTGTCCGGGTCCCGTCCCGCTCTTAGATCTCTATCTCCCACAAGCCACATGTGTCCCACCCGCTCGCGCGCCGCGGTGCTCACAGCTCGACGCGCCCGGCATTGTTGTGCAGCACGAGGGACCGGTAGATGCCGCCCTCGCGGTCCACGAGCTCGTCGTGCGGCCCCTCCTCCACCACCCGCCCGCCGCTCACCACCGCGATCTTGTCGGCGTTGCGGATCGTGCTCAGCCGGTGCGCAATCACGATGGTCGTGCGGCGCTGCGCGCGTAGCAGCTCGTCGAGCGCGGCCTGCACGATGCGCTCCGACTCGGCGTCGAGCGCCGACGTCGCCTCGTCGAGCACCAGGATCGGCGGGTCGCGCACCAGCGCGCGCGCGATGGCGATCCGCTGCTTCTGCCCGCCCGACAGCTGCACGCCCTTGTCGCCAACCTCGGTCGCGTAGCCGTCCGGCATCGCCGACACAAAGGCGTGCGCGTTGGCCTGGCGCGCCGCAACCTCGACCGCCGCCGCCGCCGCCTCGCCGCCGCCCTCGCCGCCGCCCTCGCCGGCCGCCGCCGCGCCGAGGCCGATGTTGTACGCGATCGTACCGTTGAAGAGCACCGGCTCCTGGCTCACCAGCCCGATCTGCGAGCGCAGCCACCGGACAGACAGCGAGCGCACGTCGGCGCCGTCGAGCACGACGCGGCCGCCGTCGACGTCGTACCACCGCTCGAGCAGCGCGACGAGGGTCGACTTCCCGCACCCCGACGGGCCGGCGAGCGCGACCGTGGCGCCCGGCTCGATCGTGAGCGAGAGGCCCTGATACACCTGCACGTCGCGCCGCGCCGGGTACGCGAAACTCACCTCGACGAGCTCGATCCGGCCGGCGGCGCGCCCCGACGGCGGCACGGCGCCCGTGCCGGCGAGGGCGTCGATGGCCGACAGCGTCGAGACCAGCTTGTACACGCGCCGTGCCGCCTGCATGGCCTCGGCGCGGTCCGAGACGTCCCGCGAGACCGTGGCGAAGCCAAAGGCCATGAAGATGAGGACGAGGAGGCAGCTCATGATGTCGGAGAAGCTGATCAAGTCGGCGTCAAAGAAGAGCGCGCCCACAACGTACTGGAAGGCGGCGGCGAAAAGGATAGTACCGGCGGCCGTGCCGCTCCCCACGCCCAGGGCGACGCCTACAGACGGGTCCCACGCGTGCGCCCTGACGCCCATCGCGCGGAGGCGTGTCGCTCGCGACGAGCTAGCACCCTTGAGGACGTCCTGCTTGTACGGCAGCGACAGCTCGGCGGTGAAAGCATCGACGGCGCGCGCCTCGAGCCCAAAAGCGGCGATGGTGCGCAGCTGCAGCAGCGTTTCCGAGGCGACCGACGCAGCCCGCACGAGGGAAGCGTTGGCTCGCTCTGCGTACCTGCCCACCACCTTAGCCTGGACGGCGACGGGCAGCACGATGGCAGGAATGACGCCAAAGATGCAGAGAGTAAGGCGCCAGGAAGCGTCGAAGGAGATGTAGAGCCCCGCGATGAGAACCGCGATCTGCCCCGCGAGAGCAGTGGGTCAGGTCTGGCGGGGGAAGAGGGGGAGGGGGCGGTGCGAACCTGCGAGACTGCGAGCCCGGCGCGCTCACCCGTCAGCGCCTTGAGGAGGTGGCAGTCGGCAGCGAGCTGATTGGCGAGGGCGCCCGCGGTGTGCTCCTATGGACACCACCGCGAGCGCGTCATGGGCGTGCGCCCCGGCGCCGCAGCGCCAAACGCCGAATGCGCTCACCGTGGACGAGTCGAAAAAAGCAATCGGCTGCCGCAGGATCGATTCAAAGGCGGCGAGGCGGATGCGGCGCACCATCCGCTCGGTGATGACGGAGAAGGAGACCTGCCGGCAAACGGGCGTCGACGTGGGTGTGATGCGGCGGCGCGGCGAGCTGGGCGAGAGAGCCGGAGGCGCAAACGCCCGCCTGGCGGAGGCCGGCTCCTAGCGACTGCGCAGCTCCCATACCGAGAAAGACGAGCGCCTGTCGCCGAATGCTCAGAGTTATGGCCGAGGCTAGGCTCGCCGCGACGTCCCGATGCAGCAAGGGGCACGCGCCCACAACAACGCGTCGCGCCGCATCTCGTCGACGTCGACGTTGTAGAAAACGACTATGAAGCGCGCCATGAGAAACCCGACGGCGGGCATCGCGAGGCCAGTGATGGCGGCGCCGACCAGGCCCGTCAGGTAAAAGCCGAGCTCCGGCTTGGTCTGCCGCCACAACCAGCTGCGCGCCTCCTTGCTCAGCTTTGCGGCGGCCGCCTTGTCGCGCTTGCCCCCGTCCTCGCCCCCCTTGCGCGGCATCCCAGCCGCCCGCTTGCCGCGCCGCCACCGCCGTGCCCGCCCGCCGCCGATCGACGGCTCGATCTGAGCGGCGTCGGCGGCGTCGTCGAAATCAGCGGCGAGGTCGACGGCGCCAATCACGTCGGCAGCACCAACCGCAGCCCCCGTGGCAACCTCAGCGGCCGCCTCCGCAAACTGGACTGCGCGCGCGATCACACCGGGCTCAGCAGCCTCCTCCGCCTCTGACTCGGCCGAGCCGCTGGTGGTCGGCCGGCGCCGACGCGGAGAGGCGGGCGCCCGGGGCGGTGATGGTGGCCTAGCGCCGCTGTCAGCGCCGAGCTGAGCCTGCACGAGGGACCGGTAGATGCCGCCCTCGCGGTCCACGAGCTCGTCGTGCGGCCCCTCCTCCACCACCCGCCCGCCGCTCACCACCGCGATCTTGTCGGCGTTGCGGATCGTGCTCAGCCGGTGCGCAATCACGATGGTCGTGCGGCGCTGCGCGCGTAGCAGCTCGTCGAGCGCGGCCTGCACGATGCGCTCCGACTCGGCGTCGAGCGCCGACGTCGCCTCGTCGAGCACCAGGATCGGCGGGTCGCGCACCAGCGCGCGCGCGATGGCGATCCGCTGCTTCTGCCCGCCCGACAGCTGCACGCCCTTGTCGCCAACCTCGGTCGCGTAGCCGTCCGGCATCGCCGACACAAAGGCGTGCGCGTTGGCCTGGCGCGCCGCAACCTCGACCGCCGCCGCCGCCGCCTCGCCGCCGCCCTCGCCGCCGCCCTCGCCGGCCGCCGCCGCGCCGAGGCCGATGTTGTACGCGATCGTACCGTTGAAGAGCACCGGCTCCTGGCTCACCAGCCCGATCTGCGAGCGCAGCCACCGGACAGACAGCGAGCGCACGTCGGCGCCGTCGAGCACGACGCGGCCGCCGTCGACGTCGTACCACCGCTCGAGCAGCGCGACGAGGGTCGACTTCCCGCACCCCGACGGGCCGGCGAGCGCGACCGTGGCGCCCGGCTCGATCGTGAGCGAGAGGCCCTGGTACACCTGCACGTCGCGCCGCGCCGGGTACGCGAAGCTCACCTCGACGAGCTCGATCCGGCCGGCGGCGCGCCCCGACGGCGGCACGGCGCCCGTGCCGGCGAGGGCGTCGGTGGGGTCGGGCGGCGCGTCGATCACGTCGAGGATGGCGGCGGCTGCCGTGCGGGCAGCGGCGAGGGTGGCGAGGGAGGGGAGCGCCTGGAGCAGCCCGAGAAAGCCAAACAGGACGCTGAGGAATGCGGTCATGATATCGCCGCCCGTCTCGCAACGGCCCCCGTCCGGATCTTGCAGCTCGCCGCTCTCCGAGACGAAGCGGCAATATTCGTGCGCCTCCATGTCGTCGCTCACCAGCTTTGATCCGAACCAGAGCGCCGACCCAAACATCAAAAACATGATTGGCGCGATCGTCGCCTCCAGCGCCGCCTTGGCACGGCCGAGCCGCTTGCCTTGCGCGGCTGCCGCGGTCGCCAGCTCGGCGTATCGTGCGAGGAAGCGCCGCTGCAGGCCGTACGCCTGGACAGTGCGGACGGCAGAGACCGCCTCCAGCGGCGTCGAGGTGGCCTGGTCGAGCAGCAGCGCCGACTCGGCTGTAGCGCGCGAGTAGGCGCCGCTCGCGCACTTGACGCAGAGGGCGAGCAGGGGCACGGCTGCCGTCGAGACCAGCGCGAGCTGCCAGCTGAAGTAGAGGGCGCAGGCAAGGCCGGTGACGAAGGCTACGAGACGCTGGAGAAGCTGCGCCAGGTCGTCGCCCAGGCCCGCCTGCACCGCGGTGGTCTTCTCGAGCACAGACGAGGCTAGCCCGCCCGCATCCGCGCCGTCGAAAAAGGAGAGGGGGCGGCGGGCGAGCGCCGCAAAGTACGCGGCGCGCATGCGGAGGCTCTGCCTCGCCGCGACCGCGGTGAAGCACGCCGTCTGGATGGATATGGTGATGAGCTGCTGGACGCCGAGGGCCGCGTACATGCCTGCGAGGAAGAAGATCTGTCTCTGAACCTCACTTTTGTCGGTAAGGTTGAACGAGTCGAGGAGCTGTCCAAAGACGACGAGCTGCAGCGGCTGGTTTGCTCCAGAGACAACCACAGCGGAAACGCCCGCCACCATCTGCCAGCGATCTGTCTTTGAGGCGAAGCGGTAGAGCTGCCGCAGGCTCGCATTGCGCTGCCACTTCGGCGCGCCGCTGCCTTTGCTGTCGCTGCCTTGGCCTTTGCTTGGGAGGTGGGCAGCGTTGCACATGCTTTTCGGCTGAGAAGTCGGTCGGGAGATGCAGCTGGTAGCGGCCACGAAATGGCCATAATGAAAGAAGAAAAAGCCGAGTGCCACGCACACCTCTGCAGGCCGGCTACGCGCACATTATGTTGCACACTACGTAATCGACGAGAAATCCCTATCATTGAAAGTAGCAACCGGGTCGCGCCACACGCTCTCCGAATGGGATTTTCTGCCCTGCCCCTGTCACGGCCCCGCCTGCCTCCCGGAGGCCCGCCCGGCCATGCAATCCGCCGCCGGACCGCCCGGCGGGTCCAACCCGAAGCGGGCGACCGGCCGTTCGCACCGCTCGGCCGACGGGGCAAGCCCCGCGGCCCTCGATCGCTCGCCCCGGGACGTGGCCCGACCGGCCCACGCGCACGGCCTGGCCTCTACCGCCACTTTCGGCGGCGCAATTTGCGCCTTCATCGCTCTCTGGATCGTCCTGGCACCCATCGGACTCCTCCCGACGGTCGGCGGCGCCCACTCCGTGCACTTTGAGTCAGACTCGCTCTTCGGCAGGCACGCTCTTCGGCAAAAAGTCGCCGCCGGCTGTCCACGCCGAGCCAGCCAATTGCCGGCTCGCACGGCAGCCTCTTCCTCTCGACCAGCCTCAACTTCGACACGGTCATCATTTTGTCGCTGCGTGCTCGTTGCGAGCCGGGCGGCGGTCAAAGTTTGCCCAGACGAGCGCCAGGCGATAGTCCCGTCTCTGTTCGCCCTGTGCATGTCAGGCCAGGCTGCAGCGGGGCACGACCATCGTGCTGCCCTGTTGCAGCCTGACGTTTCCCACTGTGCACAGCCGCCAGAGCACCACCACCGCCCGGCATCGTGTCACGGCGAGCTTCTTCTGCGCCCGCTTGCGAGGCTCTCGCGCTGGCACACTTTGGCCATCTGCTGCTCGCGTTCGGCGTGAGGAGGCAGCGTTGCCGGCACAGTCGAGCTGGAGTATCCGCTTCTTGATGCTTCTGCGGTCAAGCTTGACCTTATGTGACATGATATGCCACAATACTGCATGCTCTCACCCCTCAAACTGTCGAATTTTTGTTTAGTACTGGTGACCCGACACCGGTGGCCCGATAGTACGGCTCTACCGTGTGCCTTTCTTCAAACGAACAGGCTTCGAGGTTCGACAATCGCTAAAAGCTGCTTTTGGGGCACCGCTGCGACTCCATTGGGGATGCCTGAGGCCACCCCAAGCACTCCCCAAGCCTTACGTGGACGAATTCAACCCTACTATTTGTTCGTCTACCCACATTAGCAACTTCGTGCTCATGTCAACGCCACGCAAACGCTAGCCCATTCAACCCCGCCCCCATTGGGGGCGGGGCCCTTCAAGGGCCTAACTCTAGTACACAATCATATCACGGAGGCGAGGCGCGGCGGACTCCTTGCTGCTCCGCTGCTGCCGGTCGCTTTCCTGTTTTGTGGGTTGGCGCCAGCTCTTGTCGATGGGCACCCTCGCCCGGCTCCTCTACGGCGCCCACTTCACCGCAGACCAGGTCACCTTGCAGGTCGAGACGCGGGAGCAGGTGCCGTCCGCCGTGACCTTGAGCCTCGAGCAGGTCGCGTGCTGGGGCGTGCGCGTGGACGGGATGCAGACAGCGGTGTCTGCACAGCAGCAGCCGCCTCGCTACAGCCTTGCTATCGCCGACGGTGGCTTCCACTGCTCTATTGGCCGCGTCGACGTGAATCGCGGCCCGGCTGCTGACGGCGCATTGCGTGTGCGGCTCAGCGACAAGGCAGTCGGCGCCCTCGGCCAGCTCGCTGCGCTCACGCCGCTCAGTGGTATGAGGGTAGCGGCCGAGAAGCTCACGGCCGATTTCGTGCTGGCGCTCTCCCCCCGTGGTTCGAGCGGCCTGCCCGCCGGCATCAAGCTCGAACGGTCCGAAGTCGGAGCTGCGCTGACAGTAAACATCGCGTCTCTCGGCCCTCTCTCGGGCGTGGCAGGTTTGGCGACGCAGCTGCTCTCGCAGACGCTCAGCTCGCTGATTAAGGACGAGCTTGCGCTGATCATCACGCTTGACCTTGGCCCCGCACTCGCACGATTCGAAGAGTCCCAAGTCGCAGCGCTGGCCGCCCGCCCGCTCGCGAGGGCAGAGCCACCGGGCGGTTTTATTTGGACGGAGCTCGGCCGTGACAGCGTCGGTGGCGATAACGCCGCCGCGGCCACCCTCTCCTGGCTCAACTCGACGCTATCCAACGCCTCCCTCGGCGCCGAGGCCGCCTCCCGTGTGGCGCGGGTGAGTCGCTTCCGAGACTCTTCCGAGAGGCACTCGGCAGCTTGGCTCCCATTTCCAGTCCGCCTCCGCCTCCCTCGCCGACACCCTCTCCCTCTCCGCCCCTCCTCCGCACGCGCCCTTTGCTTCCCACGTCGCGCAGGCTGTCGCCGTGCTCACGATGCAGCCGCCGCCCGCCCTCAACGCCACCGAGCCACCAGACGAGCTGTTTGTGCCGGTTGCGCTCCTGCCGGCGCTCCCGACCCTCGAGCTCGGCGGGCTGGGGATGGCCGACGTCGAGCTGACCGCTCTCTCCGTGGCCGGCCTAGACTCTGTCGAGGCGCTGTCCCTCACGCTGGAGGGGGAGCGCTCCATCCTCGCCTCCGCCACTCTCGGTCCGCTCTCGCTGCGAGCCCGCGCATGGCTGACAGTCACGCCGCCGATGCCGACCGACCGCCAGTGGCGAGGCGAGGTAGACGCGTGTGACTGCGGTTGGACGAGCAGGTGGGCTTGCCCCACCGCATCGCCGCAGGAAGGGCAGCAGGTCGCGGAGAACGACGGCACAGCCTGCTTCGCCTATTGCTGCCGCCCACCGGGCCTCGACCAGGAGGTGGAGATCGAAGCCAGCCTGGAGGGCGCGCACGCGGAGGCGATCCTCGCGCTGGACCCGAGCGCGCAGGCCCTCGCAGTCACCAGCCTCCAGACAGCGGCGGCGCGGCCCGAGTGCGCCCTAGCCGCTCTCGGCGTCGCCCCTCGCCACGTCTCGCTGGCAGCCTCACCTGCGCGTTTGCGGCTCCGTTATGCCGCCGTGCCCAGTGACGGCGGCGACGTGCTCGGTTCGGCGGTACTAGCCGCCACCAGCCACGCCTTGGACTTCGCTATTGGCTCCTCCGCCCCTGGCGCGATCAAGGACGCCCTCGACGCTTTTGTCAGCGGCTTGGCGCTCGAGGCGCTCGAGGCATTCATCACACGCGCCGACCACGAAACCTGTGCCACCTCATCCCCGCCGGCCTCTCTGGCCGATGGCGGCGACGGCGGTGCGGGCACCAAGGCGAGCGGGCTATGGCGCTCGCAGGGCGGTGCGGGCGGCCGCGAGGGTGCCGGGGAAGACGACACGGGTACTGGTCGCCGCCACACGGTTGGGGGGCGGGCGGCTCTCGTGCAAGCCGGCTCTGGCTGGGCGAATGAGACCGAGCGGCAGGCAGCGTTCGCGGCCGCCACCACCGTCGCGGACGACAGCGCGGCGACCGAGGCAGCCCGCGCCAACTTGGCGCTGCGCGCGCTCGGCGTGGACGAGTTGGCCGTGGGCGAGATTGCTTCGCTCTCGCTGGTTGCGCCGCTCGCGACGCCAGCGCCCCTCCAGCTCGGCCTTTCCGACCTCCGGCTATCGGGCGTCGCAGCCGCCTCGGAGCTCTCCTTTCTTGCGGCGGAGTGCGAGGCCAGCGACGGTGTCGACCCGTTCAGCGGTGGTACCGCGCTCTACGCTACAAAGGCGCGTGCTGCAGTGGCCACCAGCGAGCCGCTCTCGCTCTCGATGGCATTGAGCATCTCGCTCCTGGGTCAAAGCAAGGGGCGAACCGAGGCCAACTGCATGGCTCGTTGTGCTGTGAGCGCGACGTGGTTGCTATAGGTCGGACGGTGGGCTGGACGGTCAACCTGACGGCCGCTGCGGTCACTGCTGAGGCCGTGCAGCAGCTACGGCTCGCGGCCGGCGCGCTCGGCGCCCTCTCGATCGCCGACCTCGCCTCACCCTGCGTGCTGACACCCCTGCGCGGAGCGCGCCTCGATGCACTTGATGGCGGCGCCTCGAGGTGTGCGGTCTCTGCCCATGTATCACCCTTGTGGTCGCAGCAGCCTCGACAACCCTCCCGGAGTCTTGCCGGATACACGAGAGACACCAAGAAAGACATGAGAGGGGTAGAGAGCCGAAGGTAGAGACGCTGAGACGAGCTCTCCCTCTCCCCCTAGCTTTGAGCTTGCGATCGCCCCCATCAACGGCACCGAGCCCGCCGTGCTGACGGCTGGCTTTCTCGGCTCCCTGCTGTCCGCGGTCCTGCCGGGCACCCTCGGCGCGCTCAATGAGGCGCTTGCCTCGACCGTCGACGCGGCGCATGAGGCCTGCGCGGCGCCTAGGGTGGGGGTGCCTCCCGCTGCCGCAACCACCACCACCGGCACCGGTATGAGCGGGCTCGAGACGCTGCTCTCGTGCACTGTCTACGGGGCCGCCTACGGCATCAGCGCCCTCGTGATCGGCGGTCACCTCGCCTGTCCGCGCTTCTGCTGCGTCCCGCGGCGCGGAGCGGCGGCGGATGGTGGCGCCTTCCCCATCGCGTCGCACTACCCCCGTTCGCTGACGTGGCCGCTCTCGCTCTTGCTCGTGTTGAACCTCCTCCTCTTCTCGTATGCCAACGCGCCCGTGCTCGATGGCGCCATGGTGCGTGCGACGGTCTCGGTGGCGGGGGCACCGCTGCCGCCGCTCGACGTGTTTGGCATTGGGCTCCCCTCCTCGGTGACGCGCCTCTGGTGGACCGTCTGCGTTGCTGCGTAGCATGGCACAGCCTCCATCGATCGCGGTAGGTGATCCGCTTCTGGCAGACGGGCGGGATGGGCTACCTCATCTCGGCCCTCATCGTGGTCTTCTCGGGCGCGCCCGACCAGCGCCCTAGCTCCGAAGCTCGGCAACCACGTCCGTGACGTGCCGCTGCGCAACCTTCCGTGTGTGTAGGCATTTGGCCTGCCGTGAAGCTCTCGACTACGCTCTTTTGCTTGTGGGCACCGCCTTGTGTTCTCCCGGCGGGGAGGCGGGGCGCCCTGCTCGGCTTCTTTGAGAAGATGGGCAAGTGGTCAAACGTCGATTCGTTGATGATCTTCATTCTGATGGCGGCGATGCAGATGGACTTCACGTTACCGCCCGCTCCCGAACCGGGCGCGCTCCCGTTGGCGACCGTCTCGGTCGAGGTTATGCCGACAGAGGGCATCACCTATTTCTTCCTCGCTGTCCTCGCCTCCCTGCTCCTCACCGCCCTCGTCTTCCACATGCACAAGACAGTGTGCCTGCCGCCGCAACACCCGTGCGCGCGCCCGCCTCGCGAGGCGACGAGGGCGGGCCAGGGGAAGAGGAAGGCCGCCGTACGGCCTGGCACCGAGGCTGCTGCGCCACCAATCCCAAGCGTCGCGCTCCGCCATCGCTCCGGCGAACGCTTTGGCATCGTGGTGAGCCTGTCACTGATCTTTGCCTTTTGCGCAACGCTCGGCGCCTGCTTCCTCCCCGTATTCCGCCTCTCCAAGGGGGGGCTTCTCGGCGTGGCACTCGGCGGGGAGAGCTCCGACGAGTACTCTGTGATCGAGAGTGGCGTCCAGCTCCGCCACGCCTCGCCATCATCGCCCGACTGGCTGATGGAAGGGTGCCGCCCCGTCTCTCCTCTCGTCTCTTTGGCCTGGCTGAGCCGCCCCGAGCTTCCCTCCAGGTACCGCGTCATCTACTTCCTCGTTATCATGGTCGCCCCTCTTGCCTGGTACTTTGGCTGCTTGCTCGCCTGGTTCGTGCCGCTTTCGCCGTCGTCGCGCCACGCCGCTGGCTTTATGCTCAATGTGCCGCCCCTCCCGCAGCTCCGTCCGCATATACCGCCTGGGCCCTCTCGGCGGCCTCTGAGGCGGCCGGTCAAACTAGGTGTGCTCCTCCCTCGGTGCACTCGAGGTCTACGTGGTTTGCATGATCCTCTCAATCGTGCAGGTGCGGGTTCCTGCAAGCTCCCTCGTCGAACCCCTCCCATCACCCCTTCCGCCCACTAAGCGTGGACCCCCCCCCCCCCCCCCTCGTCCCAGCTCGACGCCATTGCGCAGCAGATCGTGGGGGAAATCTCGCACGGCCTCTGCGACACTGTTGGCGCCGTCGCCGAGGCGCCATTCGAGCGGCCCGAGCCGCCGACCACATGCCGTCGGACCGCGTTTCCAATCATTCAGCCTGTTGAGTAGGCGCATTTTGCTGAGCTGGTCGATCCGCCCACATGCCTCACCCTCTCCGCCGGCATCAGACCCCCCTACTTTCTTCTCACTCTTGCCACCCTCGTCGGTATTCCGGCTGGCTTGGCCGTCGCTTCGAGATTGGATGAGTCGGCGCTCGAGATGCCGCCGCTGGCGTGGGGCACATTTGACGACAGCAGCGCCGAGGATAAGGCCGCCACGCGGAAGTCATCCGCAAGCGAGACACGCGACGGCTCGCGCACGGGAGGCGCGCATCAGCCTTCGACCAATATTGTGTAGCGGACGAGTGGAGCAGCGCAGCGAGGGCACTAGAGTGACGGCTCGCTGCCGCTGAAGTCGCCCATCCTGACGCTGACCGTGGGTTACGGCATGTCTCTGGTGTATTTTGTCTGTGTGTCGTGCATGCAGCATGGCGCCATATGGGTCTACGAGTCACACGCGTACACACGAGTCATATAGAGTGTGTGCATGTTTGTACGCGAGTGTGTGGGCTGTGGCGAGTCACCGTTGCATGTGCATGTGCGGGGGGGCACTCTCGGGCTTTGTGTCTTGGAAAAAAGAAAACTAGAACGAGACGGTCAAAGCAACAAGGCTACGCTTCGCCTTCGGCTACAGAAGGGACCCTGCGGTCTACTGAGACGCATACCGTGACGTAGAAATGTGCCTGTGTTGCGGCTCCACACACGCTACAACTCATTCACCTGCTCGGCGTCCACGAGAGCCCGCCTCTCGCCCTTTTTGTGCTCGGCTGGTGCAGGCAAGATGTCGGATGGGGCAAGCGTGGCCAACGAGCGCACTGCCTGAATGACGTCCTGGAACGTGAGGTCGTGCAGGGCCTGTTCGCTCGCATCGTGCCGCGCTACCGCCGGCCCCACCTGCTGCTGGATGAGCGCGAGCCCATGAACTGCTGACAGGGTTTGCGATGAGGAGCGATCCGAACGTGGTATTCGGGTGATTAGATCACTACCGCCGAAGCGCAAGCGCTTGGAGCAAGGGAACTGCCACGTATGGGTCCCAGACTACTCGAGTAGCACCCCACCTCGCGATTATTAGCAAGTCAGGACACAGAGCTCACACAAATTCACAGTGTTATGGGTTGTGCTTGTGGTCACAGGTGCGGATCGCGGGTGGAGCGCGTGAGGGAGCTTGGATCACTGGTAAGCTCCCTCGTGCCGACGAAAATATTTTTCATTCGCCGCCTTCCAAGGCGAGGCGCATCGTGTTCAAGGCCACGTCCTTCACGTCCTTCGGCTTCTTCGGCTTCCTCGGCAGCGGCGCCTTCGACGGCGAGGGCGCGAGGCCTTGGGCATGGCGCGCCCGTGTCGACAGAATCTGCGCGTGTGCCCAGAATTTGCGCAGCCCCCCTCACATATCTTGTCTAAAGAAAGAAAACGGACGCCCAAGGGAGGGATGGGAGGACGGCACGCCGCCACCACACAGGGATTTTAAGGAGAGGGGTGTGGTGCGCTAGCCGTCGCCCACCCTTGGGCGTCCGCCTCTTCCTATCTCTCTTCGCAGTCTCTCTCCGATTCTCGCTTCAACCTTCGTGCCACATATCTTGTCTATAAATAAATAAATAAATACAACGGACATCCCAAGCTAGGGCTGGGTCGAGGACAGACACGTCCCCACCTTTGCAGGATTTTGCAAAAGCGAGGGGGGAGGGCGCATCTTACATATCTTGTCTGAGGGCTTAGAGGGGACCTCGAATAATTTTATTCGCCGCCTTCCAAGTTGGCCAGGCGCCGCCGTATCGCACAGGCCGTGCCTACGAGCACAGGCCCCCGATGGCGCTCTCCCAGCGGGACTCGGCCAAGCTGGAGCGCGCGGCGCAGTCCAGGGCTGCGGCGGAGGAGCGGGAGGTGGAGCGTCGGCTCAAGGCCGCGCTCCGCACGCCAGTCGACGAGCGCACCGCCGCCGACCTCGCGCTGCTGGAGGCGCGGCCAGAGGAGGCGCGCCGGCTGCAGGCAGCGCAGGAGCGGACTGCAGCGCGCAAGGCGGCCGAGGCGGCGAGCATGGTGGAAACGGAGGACGACGCCGAAGTCCTCCGCGGCAAGATCGACGCGCTGAGCGAGATGCTGGCTGGAGCGCGTCACGTGGTTGTGTACACCGGCGCTGGGATCTCGACTGCCGCCAACATCCCCGACTACCGCGGGCCGCAGGGGATATGGACGCAGCAGAAAAAGGCGCCCGCGGGCAAGGCCGGCTCCCTCTCCAGCGGCTCTCGCGCCGGCGGCGTCGACAAGCTCGGCGTCACGCCAACCGAGGGCCACATGGCGCTCGCTGCCCTCGTGCGCGCCGGTGCGACTCGAAGCCCTCACTCAGTCCCCGCCTTACTCCCACGGCGCCGACGGCCTGCGCAGCAACTTCGCCGCACGTGGCGCCCAACGTTGCCACACGCACCGCTCTTCAAGCTGCCGTTTCATGACCGCGCTATCAGGCCGCGTCGCCGCTGTCGTCTCTCAAAACATCGACGGCCTGCACATGCGCTCGGGGGTGCAGCAGTAGTATAACGTCACTGTAGCAGTGCCGCCTGGCGACAGCTGTAGTCCTGGACTCCTGCAGCCAGCGTCAACTCACATGCCTCGCTTCACGGTGCAACTCACGGTAGTAGGAGTAGCGCGAGCAGCAGCAGCTCCTGCTACGGCAGACCTTCGCGCGCTGTGTGGACAGGTGCCGCCGTCGGCGCTGACGGAGTTGCACGGCAACGTCTTTCGCGAGCGATGCCGCGCGTGTGGCCGCGAGTTTCTGCGTGGTTTCGACGTGACAGAGGCGTCTTCATACCGGCGGCACACCACGATGCGCAAATGTGACGACAGCAGCTGCCGCGCGCCACTGCACGACACAATCGTCTACTTTGGGGAGAAGATCGACGAGGCGCGACGCGCGTACCCGCACATTCGGCGAGCTGCGAGGGTGGGCGTACCTCCTCACCTTTCCCCCGCCTGTCACCGCCAGACGCAGCTCGAGTCGGCGCAAGAGGCCGCGGGTCGCGCCGACGTGTCGCTCTTCGTTGGTTCTTCGCTCAAGGTGCCGCAGCGCGGCAAGAGTCGCACTTGGCGGCAGAGTGCGGACTCCGCTTGGACATGCCCTGCAGGTGCTGCAGCACTACAAGTACATCTGGCAGCAGCCGGGGCGCGGGCGCAAGCGTTTCGCAATCATCAACTTGCAGCCGACTCCGAAGGATCGCGCCGCTGCGCGTCTCCGGGAGGCCGAGAGGAGAGGGAAGCAAGCAAGGAGACGCGATCGTTAGGACCGCGTCGCGGAGCTCGTCGTGCGCGGCCGCGCAGACTACGTGCCCGCTTCCCTCCACTCCGTCCCTTCCCTGCTTCACAGCAGACTTGGACGCGCTCCCTTGCGCGCCCATAGGTGCTGACCCAGCTGGCTGCGCGGCTCGGCGTCGGCATCTCGCCGCCACGGGGTTCGCCGGCGCAGAGGGGCCCTCCCGAACGTCTCTGGACTTCTGCCGTAGGCGTTCCTCCGTACGACGCAACCGCTGATGCCGTGCTCCGCCTCGCGCGCAGAGTGCGTCAACCGAGCCGTTCGGCTTCGGCCGCGTCTCGAAGGCCACCAAGCAAAGCGGCGGCGGCGCCAAGCAAAGCAGCGGCGACGGTGGCGCCAAGCAAAGCGGCGGCGACGATTGCGGCGGCGGCGGCGGTGGCGGTAGCTGAGCCCGCCGCGGTTGCGGTAGAGGATGCGGCGGCCGCCGAGGGCGGCGGTGCAGGTGGGTCAAGTCTTGCGGTGTATTGCTGCCGCTGCGGCGCTGTGCTTGATGACGAGGCGTTTTCTCCTTCATGCTGCTTCTCACCCCATGTCCCCCCCCCTTACGTATCGTTCCCCGCTCTCCCCTCCCCGCAGGAGGGCGTGACCGTTCGGCGCGACTCGACGTGCGGTTTGCGATTCACCGAGATTGATCGAGATGACACGAGGATCCGTCGCAGGCGCGCCGTCGGCGAGTGCGACGTCGCTGGCTGCGAGCATTGGGCGTGCTTGCGGTGCGCGGGAGTCAAGGCCGGGTACAGCGGCGAGTGGGTGTGTGGTTGCGCTCAATGCGGCACGGGTCTGGGCTCTGCAGCACGCCCTCACACGGCGGGTGGTTTGGTTGCGGCGGGAGAGGCGGGTGCAAGGGGGAGTGCAGAGGCGGATTCTGGAGAGGCCAAGGGCCTGGTGGCAGGGAGGGGGGCGGTGGTGATGCGCGATGGCGAGGACCACCGCCGAGGCGCGGAATCGGGCAAAATGGACGCGAGCGGCGAGATGGGGGGAGGCGACAAGGGGGCCATGGCGGAGGCCATGGCGGAGGAGGCACTGCCTCCGAAGAAGAAGATGCGGATGAAGGTGTTGGATGAGGCGACTCCTCACCCACTCGACAGACAGAGAGAGGGAGAGTCGGCCTCGTTCCCTCACGGAGCCCTCCCGCGCCGTAGGCGGGTCCTGTCCCTCGCCGCCCCCCACCGCCGCCGGCGACGACCGCCGCCACCGCCGCCACTCTGCACGCCCCACCGGCGTCGCCGCACCGGTCGCCGCGGCTGCCCGCGTCGCCCGCGGCAGCCTCCCCGTCGCTCCTCAGCGAGCCGCCGCCGCCCGATCGGCCCTCACAGTTCGCGCTGGAAGACGTAGCGCCCGCACAGGCCGTGCCTTTCCACCCGTCCGACGCCCCCGCGCTGGCCATTTCTGCCACAGCGCCCGCAGTTCCTCCCGTCGCTGCCGATCCTGCCGCCGCCCCCCGATCGACAAAGAAGTGCCTCGGCAAGTGCGGATTCTTTGGATCGCCGGCGTTCGACGGGCTCTGCTCCAAATGCCACGCCAAGCGGCTACATGACATGGCGCAGGGGTGGAGCGGTCCACGTGGGCGGGTTTGATTGAGCGACAAATTACTGACCTAGAGCCAGAGAAAACGTGAGACTCGGTGTGTCCTCGCAAAAATGAGCTTTTTGAAAGTCTTTTTACTCAGGACAGGTTTTCCGGTGGGAGGGGGAGGACTACCTCGTCAACGACATCGCACCGGGACCGACACAGTCCCGGGGGGGCAGGCGCTGAAGGCGTACGCCTGCTGTGTGAAGAGGCGGGTGGCATCGGCGGGCCCGCTGTCTGAACACAACTCGGCCTTTGATATCCGGGCGGTGCGGGACCGAATCGAGAAGGACCGGGCGAGGGGGGAGGCGACGCGACTACTGGGCAGTCTACGGCCTGATGCGGAGACAGGGGGGGGGGGAGAGGCGGGGCCGTCGACGGATCCGGGCCCTGCCCCCCCCCCTCCCCGAGGGGGGACGAGAGCTAGGCCCCCCCCCACGAGCGGGGTGGACGGCCGACGCGTGGAACCCCGGCTAGAACGACCGCAGGGGCAGGGGGCCGCCTCCGAGGCCCCGCCTCAGGAGTTGCGGCGGCCGGTACCGCCACCAGGCCCGCCGCCACCACCACCGTACCCGCCCCCGCCGCTGGAGCGACCGCTGGGTCGAGGAGCCGCCCCTGAGGTTCCACACCAAGCGGTGCGGCCGCCAGTGCTGCCATCGTTTCCGCCACCCACACTGCCACTCCCGCCCCCACCACTGGGACGGCTGCAGGGTCGTGGGGCCGCCCCAGCGGCTCCACACCAGGCGTTTGGACCGCAAGGGCCGCCACCATACCCGCCGCCCCTGCCACCGCCTCCACCCCCGCCGCCGGCGGGGCCGCCACCGTATGGACCCGCTCGGAATAACCTGGGGGACCCGGGACCGCCCCGCCGGAGGCTGGTGTACCCGGGAGGAGGAGCTGGGAGGGGGGAGTTGCCGCAACACGATAACGAACCCGCCGGCGAGCCGGAGGGCCGAGACCGGAGGGCCCCGGGGGGGGCCTGGGGTCAGCTGTCGGAGGAGGCGAGAGACGAGCTGACGCGGCCTCTGCGAGTAGAGTCGGGACGGACGGAAGAGCCGAGGACGATAGAGAGACCGCGGGGGCGCGGGGGCGGGCGCGAGTCCTCGACCGAAGAGAGCTGGCCCCACCTCCCGGGGAGGGGCGGCGTGGCGATCGAATGCCGCCGCCCTCACCCGAGGAGTCGGGCACGGGATCGCCGGAGGCGGAGGCAACAAGAATAGCCCCCGAAGACGAGACGGCGGCGAGGCCGCGGTCGAAGAAGTATAAGAGGGGAAGGCGGGCTCCGCAGCCGACGCCGAACCATCGGAAATCGAACAGGAGGGAGGACCGGGAGGAGAGGGGAGCCCCCTCGGATGGGGGGTGGGGAGATCGGGCGGAGGAGCCCTGAGTGGCGATGTCGGGTGAGAGTGTACGTCATGCTCGTGTCTAGTGTCTGGTGTTTACTAGCTCCGAGTAGAGGGGGCGTTCCGCCGCTAGGGGACACCCAAAGCGCAGAACTAACCCTCGGAGACCCGTGTTTACTTTAAGGCCCTTGCCCTGCGAATGCGCGCCCCCCCCCTAGCTAGGGGTCAGGGCTCTCTAGCCCGTAGCCCGATACCGATCATCCGGCCCGCTGGATGCGCTTCTCAGCTCACCGGCCCTGGATGTGAGGTTACCGACTGCACTCCAAGTGCTCCAAGTGCTCCAAGTACTCGCATACCACACACACCAGTCACCACTCTCAAAGTCCCCCCGCGGCCGCGCGGTGCGAAATAAATAAATAAAACGGTCAAACTCTGAGACGAGATGGGATTTAGGGACATGTGCCAGTTTCGGGCCGGGGCAAACCCTTTTCGCTTTTGCCCCCGGCCCCTACCGTAATTGTGAGCAGCGGCCCAGCCAGTCGTATCGAAGTCTAAGAGATGAGTACTCTATTATAAAACGTAAGAGTACAGGCCCCCAGCCCCCAAGTGAACGTGTGGCCTAGGGCATCAGAAGGGACCAAGCGAGTCTGAGCCATGGAGCGCATGTCATCCCCCCCGATGGTCGCGTTCAAATGCCCGGAACACCCGTGACGAAAAACGAACACACACCAAGCGCTAAGCGTGAGGACACGATTTCGAATTCGTAGGAGCATCTGAGCAAAATTGAGCCCGCTCAGGTGTGAACAAAAGATATAAGGGTCGACCAGGTTTCGAACTGGGGACCTCCCGCCAGCGGGAAGGCTTCCAGCAAGATACGCTTGGATTGAAAGGAGGTCTCAGCTCGGGAAACCTATGTAGCATACCGGAAGAATTAGACACCACAGATACGCACACACCGACGCCCGAAGTGCCAAGAAGGACGTCATCAGTACGAAACCTCAGAAGGCCATGGGCGCCGAGAGAGCATTCCCCCGAGAGGACAAAAGAAAAGGCTTCGCACCCCCTCCTTGCGCAGTGACCCTCGCTAAGTGTCGCCGTTATCGGGGCACGCTATCCTGCGCAGGCAGGGCAAGCGGGGGAGGGGGGCACTCCCCCTGGTCTGATACTGGGGTGTGACTGTCTCCAGTCTCGGAGGGGGGCAAAAAGATAAGAATATCTAATTTTTTCAAATGCCTGGAACGGCCGTCTCAGTGGCGGGTGTGTCCGGCCGGCGCGATCATCGAGCTCTGACGCTCGGGGAAGACTGATGAGGTGCTGGTTTCTTTGCTCAGGGCTAACCTACGCCCATGCTGGGTTTGGGAAGAATCCCCCGGGCACATCTTCAAATGCCGCCAAAATCACCCCGTTTTTGCGAGAATGACCCGATGTACGAGGCGGCGGCGACTTCCCCGGCGCCTCAGAGAGCAGAGAGAGCGCGCGGCAGGCCAGCGCAGCGCGCAGCGTGGGAGCAATCGCATGGCGTGCGTGCGCTGAGGCCCCTATAGGGGCGCTCTGGACCTATACGGCACGGGAGGCCTTCCGTGTTTCTTTTTGGTGCCGGCAGGCTGAAAGAGAATTCGGGCCTCCACCTATACAGCGGGGCGGCCCACCGCGCAATCGGAGCACACGATCGATGGGGCCTCCCTTTTCTTTGTTTCACCTGCAGGCGCGCCACCCCTTCAAACGGACACAACGTAGTTGGGAGGCCGGTCTAACCCCGCCGTCCCTGGCGACGAGCCTGGGCAGTGGAGTGCAGACTACGTCGTATCCGAATATACGAACCCAATTCCCAATAATTGGGATCGAGTAAAGACACACGTGGAGTGTTGAATGGGTAATGACACACAAGAGTGGGAGATCAATCCCCGGGCAGCGACGGACAATGTGTTCGAGAGAGAAGAAGAAGTGGCGGGAGCACCCTCGGCCTCGCAGCAACCTTCGAGCGATTTTCAGAGGGAGAGAGACTGCCGGTGTGTAGCCGGACACAAGGTCAAGGTTGGCTCCACAGCGCACAGGTGTGTGAGTACGTGTACTGTTTGTTCATGTTCAGAGCGTGAGCGCGTGTGCCGCGTCGCTCGCCAGCGGGACAGCGGCCGCCCCGACATTGCTCATTGGCGACAAGCGTGTGCGACACCCAATCGTATATCCTCACACACGCCCCCTTCGTGTGATGCGCTCTCGATCGGCACGGCGGGCGCCGGGGGGGCGCGTACACGCCGGACTCTCATAGGTCATAGCTCATACTCATATTAATAGCGGTCTCTAGCCCAGCTTTCTTTAATACTAGCGCAGACGAGAGCAGGGCAGAGCCGGGGACTGGGGAGCCGGAGCAGACGGCATCGGCCGCCGAGGGAACGTTGGGAAGAGGCACGAGGAGGGCGGCGACCTCGACCGACTATGGAGGACCCGTCGCCAGACGACGCAGGGCAGAAGACGGTGAGGCGGAGCAGACGCGCAGGGCGAGACGAGGGAGGGAGCAGGACTTTGCGGAGATCAGCAGGAGGATGTACGAAGAGATTAGGAGCAGCAGGGACCCGAGGGACCATGTCCATGCCGCATCGCGCATGTGGAAGAGACGGCTAGTGCGCTAGTCCCCCATCGGGAGGACGACCCCGGCTAGTCGCCGACCACACCCACAAAGAACCCTGCTCAAAGATCGCAAGGGCGGGGACCTGTTCCTTTTTACCCATCTCACAGTAGAGAGGTGTCCGTTTTTATTTATTTATTTTCTTCCGATTTAGTTTTTAGAGTACCAACTCCATTTTTGTATTTTAGGATGTGTAGGAAGAGAAATCGTGTTCACCCGCTGGGTTCACCCATGCTTTTGTGAGCGCAACGCGGGGCGGCGACCGCCCGCGAGCGACCTAACCCTGTACGTCAGTACGCTAAGTGCCCCCTGTGCGCCCTCGTCCATCGCAGCAAGCTCGGACGGGGCAGGCACAAACCTGCACAAGCAGACCCTCCGGCTCCGCTCCTCTCTCTCACACTCTCCGCGGCGGCAAAGGCGGGCACAGACTGGACTGTGCGCACCACACCCAAAGTAGAAGGTTGCGCCCCCCCCCTTCGCCGCGCCGACTCCCTCCGACGGGTCCTCGTAAGCGCTCGCGCTCTCTTCAGAGCCGAGCAACCTCCGCCTCACGATCGCTCCTCCTCGGGGGACAGCGAGCGTCTCGCCCGCACTTCCTCCGGATAGGCTTCGCCTGCGGGGACGCGGCGTGGGGGCGTGTCATAAGGGCTCCATTAGGCGGGCGCGACTCAATAGGGCGCGCGGCGCCGAAAGGCAGCGACAGCTTCTCGAGCACCGTCGGCCTGCGTGGCGATCGCCGTTGGACGTGTCACGGCTGAGCAAGAGCCAAGCAAGGAAAGGCGGGAGAGGGGGGCTGGAGCAGTGTGTGGAAGAAGAAGGGGGGGGGGGGCCTAGAGACTCAGCGCGGGACTGAGTCTTGACGTGGTGTGTTCGACTAGACGCGACGCGCCGGCCGGGCGAGAAAGACTGCGTCGCCGTCGAGTCCTCGCGCAGCAAGTCCGGACTCTCCTGCGCGAGGTCCGGCGACGCCTGGTCATGGCGAGGCGGGTTGAAGCAGAGCGCTGCTTGGCGGTGGGGCAAGGTGTGGCGAAGCTGCGGCGGCACCGCCGAGCCCTCGGAAGGTTCGAGCGAGACGACGACGACCTGAGAGGCGGTGATGCGGTGCTGAGCAATCCTGTCACGCGCTCTCGACCCTCCAGAGGCGACGGCCACCGAGACGTTGTCCGACGACTGGTGGTGGATGGCGCGCTCCACCAGCCTGCGCGCAGCCATGCCCTCTGCGTCGCCCGTCGCAGCGTTCTCTTGCAGGGCGGCGCGGGTGTACTCGGCAACGTGCTCGGACGAGAGCACCTGGGGAGGCGAGGAGGAAATGTCTAGGAAGTGTCTAGGTAGTGTCTCCGACGGTCGGCGGGCGGTGACTTCGCCGCCTCCAGAGGCTGCGGTGTGAGGGCCCGGCTGCTTCTCGACTGTCTGTGCTTGTGCGTCTTGGGTCCGGGGGTGTGTTCTTGTGTGAGGGGCCCGTCCTAGGCAGTCCTCACTCCGGGCGGCATCTCACCTCGCCGAAGAGCCCGTCCGAGGAGGAGGAAATGTCTAGGAACTGTCTAGGAAGTGTCTAGGTAGCATCTCACCTCGCCGAAGAGCCCGTCCGAGGCGACCACGACGGCGAGGTCGTCCGGACCGCGCGCAAAGACGGACACGTCCGGCAGCGCCGTCACGACCTGCTTGGGTCGTGGCGGCGTGGCCGTGCCGATCGCGTGTGGTGAGCTGTGGAGAGGTCTGGCAGCGGCGTCACCTGCGCATTGGCCGCCTCCTGCGTCCAGTCTCTGCCTGCAGCCACTTTGAGCCGCAAGTTGCCAAACGCGCGTGTCATCGGCAAATCGTGCTCTCCCACCCGCACGCTGCCGGGCACGTTCGAGGCGCCCGCCTGCTCGCCGGCAACAGAGGTGCTGAGCAAGAGGTGCTGAGCAAGGCAGCACGCGAGGGGCGAGGAGGGCGGGAGGGGGGGAGGCGCACGCACCCGCTCGACGCGGTCAGCCTCCTCGGCGCAGATCGACCTCTCGGCCACATGGTCGTGCGTGAGGGCCTGCAGCGGGAGCGGACTGGGAGTAGTGAAGAGAGGGGCGGGAGAGAGTGCGAGAGTGCGCGACAGCGAGAGAGCGCGCGCGAGAGAGAGAGCGAGAGAGCGAGAGAGCGAGAGAGAGAGAGCGAGAGAGCGAGAGAGGACGGGAGGTGGAGGAGGTGGAGGAGGTGGAGGAGGTGCCTCGAACGAGCGGGTCGCCCCTTCCTTCTTGACAAGGATGGCGCGGCAGTCGCCCGCGTGCGCAACCTGAGGCAGGCCCATTCCTCCCGGGTCACACCACCTCGCGTGGCCAGCGTGCAAGTGGGGGCGTCGGGCTGCGCCCGACCGTCAAGTGGTTCGGCGTGACGACGAGCGCGACGGCTGCGGCGCCGGCGTGCGACTCCTGCGCCGTGGGGCCGTCGAGCTGAGAGCCGCGGTGCAGAGATGCGGTGCAGAGATGCGGGCGCCACTGCTTGGCGTTTGCTCTCTGCAGGTGGGCCGTGGAGGGGAGCGAGAGAGCGGAAGGGGGGGTTAGGGGGGTGTGCCGAGGCTCCGACAAGCGGCGCGCCTTTGCCCTCCGCCCGGGCGAGGCGGCCCAGGAGAGGAACGAGGCGTCGGTGCGCAGGAAGGCGTCCTGCAGCGCAGGCACCTGCCGGGGAGGGGGGGGGGGGGGGGCGTGAGAGCAGGCGGCGTCTGGAGGTGGAGAGGATGCAGGAGAGGGTGGTGAAGCGGGCAGAGGTCGGGGAGGGGCTGTGGTGGCACTGTGGAAGCACTGTGGAAGGGTCTGGTGTGGGGGAGGAGTCGGAGGAGTGGCGTTGCGGCGGCGCGGCATGTACGTCCGCGTCGGGTGTGGAGGGCAGCTTGTTTCAGAAGCAGCGTTGGGACTGGGGTGTGTGCGGTCCGGGAGGGAGAGCGGGTGGTGGTGGGCACCAAGTCGGGGAAGTGGTGCGATCCGACCAGGTTGGCGTGGAGCCGCTCTGCGCAGTGCTCCTGCAGGGCGGGCGGCGAGGCGCTGGGTGTGGCTGGGAGCGAGGGGCGCACAGAAGGGGAGGGGGAGGGGAGCGCACACCGCGGCTGCAGAGCCGCCGTGTCCGTCGAGGACGGCGAAGAAGCCGTGCGAAGGCGCGAAGCCGCCATTGGCGCGCTCGAGCTTGCACACCGTCCTGTCCTCCATCGAGCTGCGCGGGCGGGGCGGGCCGCGGCCGGTGAGAGAGGGGTGAGGCGCGCAGCATGCGTGCAGGTTGCGGGCAGGGGAGGGCAGGGGAGGGCATGGGAGGGCAGGGGACAGCTTTTCTGGAGGGGAAGGGGTGTGGGGCGGGAGCGCGCACTTTCTCGGGCCCTGCGTCTGGTGCATGCCGTACCGCAGGCGCAGCTCGCTCACGAGCGGGCAGCAGATGGGGTGGCCCGAGATGGGCGTGCCAAAGCCGACGCTGGCGAGCCGTCTCGGCGGCATGACGCTGGCCATGTCCTCGGGCGGCGTCTGCTCGGCGCGCGTGGGCGAGTGACACGGCGTGAACTCCATCCGCTTCAGCGGGGGCTCGTCGGGCTCGTGCAGCGGGCACGAGTCGAGCTCCGCCTCGCTGCGCAGCCGCTTTGCGTGCGTGTCGAGCGGCGTGCTTCCCATGGACGACGTGCGGATGGCGACGGGCCTGTCCTCGGGCGAGACGTCCATAACCGCGGGCCAGGGCAGCCGCTGATTGTAAGACGCAGCGACGTCCATCTGGCAGCCGCGCGGCAAGCTCACTTGACCCTAGAGCTTCCACAGCAGCCCACCCGACTTTTGGTTGAGCGTTGCGTGCGACAGGAAGAAACACGCTGGGCAACAAGATATTGGTAAAACTCTCGTTCGGCGACGGCCCTGCCCGTGACAGATGGCGTCCCGACCGCCCGGCCGGCCGCCGCCGCGCCTCCGGGGCGACGACGAGGGGCCCTCGCCGCCACGGCGCCGCCAGCGGCCATCGGCCGACCCCCCGGCTGCCCGAGTGCCATGGCTGCGGCTCTTCTCTCCGCCGGCGTAAAGCTCGGGCCTTGAGAGATGGTGATCCGGCCAGCCGCTTGCGCCTCCGGAATTTTCTTTTTCTTTTTCTTTGCTCCCCTTCTTTTTGTTCCTCCCGCCGAACACACAAGCGGTCCAATCGCCCCACATGGCGGCGCCCGGCCGCGTGATTGCGCTCCTGGATCACTGGCGGCCGGAGCGCTACCCTACGACGCGCCTCTACGAGCGTCACTTCCTGGGCCTCGTCCACATCGTCACGGGAGACCTCTTCCCGGCCTGCCTCAACGTGACTGACGAGCACGGCGGCATCGCTTGCCGGCTCCACTACCGCGACTCGTACCCGGGCGAGGGCCACCTCTACTCGGTCGGCAAGGTTATGCTCTCCCTCGCCGCGTCAGGGAGCCCAAAGAAGAAGAGGTCCAAGGGGCCGGGCTGGCTGCGGACGCTGGCGCGCCGCGCGAGCGGAAAGCTCGAGACGGCGTCCGGCGTGCTGCTGATGCACATGGACTTTTTTGTCGACCCGGCCCGCCTCCGCCGCCGGCGGGCAGACTTTGTGTGGCGGCTCGGGCCGGGCCTCCCCGGCGAGGCGTGGCAGAAGAGCGCGCCTCCACGCGCCGTCCCAGCCCGGCCAGGCGTGGCGACGTTTGCGGGCCATTCCAGGGTTCCGCCGAGGCTGCTGGTGTCGGACCTGGCCGCGCTGCGGGCGGGGCGAGACGAGCTCTTTTGGCGGGAGCGCTGCTTCCGCGAGGATGGCCGGAGCGGCGCCGGCGAGCGAGCGGCGGCGCCGTGGTTCGGCTTTGACTCGTGGCGAAGGGGGATGCGGGCCTCCCACCAGCTGCACAACGCGACGGCGTTGCTCGGCCGCTACCGCCAGAGCGCGCCGTCGCTTGACGGAGCGTGGGCGGCGGTGGGCGCGGGGACGGTGTGCGCCGGGTGGAGCGACCTGTACTACGTCCCCATGCGCCTGGCCGCCGCGTTTGGCGACCTGATGCACCTCTACTTTTGGCAGCGCGTCTTCCACGAGGTTGCCGTGCCGTCGATCCTGCACATCCTCTCGGGCGGCTCGCGCGAGGAGGAGGTGCTCGACGGGTGCTTCGGCTGCTGCTGCTGCGACCTCGAGCCGGCAATCGACCCGGCGCTCGTGCTCGGGAAGCAGGAGTGCGCCCACCGCGTCGACCTGCGAGATGCGCGCGCTCGCAGCTTTATGCGAGCCGCGCTCCTCCGCGGCTAATGAATAAATAAAAAAAGCGGACACAACAAACGAGGGGTGGGAGCTAAGGACAGGGTCCCCACCTGTGCACGAGCCGAGAGGATCTTCGTTGTAAGGATCAGGGCCGGACCCACAGGCGGGGAGACGAGGAGAACCAAACACGGGTCACGGCTCACGGGAGCGGGGAGCGCATCGCGACAGCCGACACGGAGGGGGGGGGCTGGGCAGGGTTCACCCACACGACAGGGTCCCAGGAGTTCCCCTCTCGTATAGGACAGGTTGCACCCGGCGGCACCCGGCGGGGCAGGCGCGGGCCTCCTACTGGTTGCGCTCTCCTAGTTCTCCTGCTCCCGACAAGGGACAGCGACAGGCTCGCAGCACGGTGGACTCCCTATTCGTATTTTGCACTGGCGATCTCTCTCGACTAGCGACCTTCCTCCGGCTTCTCACTGGCAGTCTCTCACTAATCACGGGCACACTGACAGAGGCGGCCAAGGGCAAGGCTCACGCCGTTGGGTGGCAGGGCGCAGGGGCGGTGATAGGAGTCTCCCACTCTGTGGGCTTCGCTAGAGGTGCGGGGCCTGCGTATGAGAGATGTTGTTGCGCCTCGTCCTTTGAGGTCTTGAAGGGGAAGGGGCTGTGTGTCTGTGCATACATGCATGCATGCATGTGTGTGTGTGTGTGTGTGTGTGTGTGTGTGTGTGTGTGTGTGTGTGTGTGTGTGTGTGCGCGCGCGCTGTGCGAGCCGCCCCGAACGACCACATGGTGAGCGCGCCCGAGCACCGAAGCGCCGCGCGCCGGCGAGCACCGCCGCCCGCGCCTTGGCGTGGAGCGGTAGTAGATGATGGTTGATGCGGCGCCCAGGATGCTCTTTCCTGCGTCGCACCCACCGGTGGCCGAGCCGACCGCCGTTCGACCTGGCGCCGAGTGGCTCCCAGATCGAGCGCGGCAGGCTCAGTCGCACGCTCGAAGTGCTTTTTGCCCGGCCGCGCGCAGCGCTAATCGGGCGCCCTTTGCTCCTCCGCGAGCTCTAAGGGAGTGAGAACTGCTCGGCTCACCCTGATCATGCTGAACAAGCTCCTCTTGGAGCTCGATCGGTCACACCGCCATCGCCGTCGGGGAGAGGGGGGAGACGACACTGCTTCGGCAGCGTGCACCTCGATCCTGTACCGTGTTTGTTATGACCCCCCCCAATGAACATACCAGTGAGGGAGGGCGAGACGATCGAGGGGTCCCGTACCACGCGGAATCGACCCTATACTCGTAGGGATCCCTTATATAGATGTTAAGTGTGGGTTAAGAGGGAGATTCGCGCGAGCTGCGGGACCGCCGGGACGGCGGGCGGGTGATTGCGACTCGCCGCCGCTTCTTGGCGACTTTTGGCGACTTTTGGGACGCGCGATCGACCGGCGAGAACGATATGGCGGGCGAGGCCGTCACGGCCATGATCGTGGCTGACGACGGCGGCGACGACCCCCTGGCGGACCGCCGCGAGGACCGGGAGGCGGCGGCGGAGCGGGAGAGGAAGGCGAAGGTGGCGAAGCTCAAGGCGCAGACGGCGAACGCGATGGAGGTGGTGCGGACGCAGCAGGCCGCGAAGGAGCGGGGAGCCTTCGACGAGGCGGCTCTCACTGCGAACGAGGTCGCGGGAGCGCCGGTGAAGGGCACCTCCGCCATGGTCAAGAGCATCTTCGATTCCCGACGCGATGGCAAAGATTGGAAGATGGTGCAGCGGCGCGAGCAGCGGAAGACCCAGACCGGCGCGGGCACTGCCGTGCAGGTTCTGGCGGGCCTGGAGACGGTGGCGGCGTCGGCAATGGAGATGTACAAGAAGGACGGCGCCGACGCTCTCACGGTGACGGATGCGGATCCCTAGATGCCACGCGCGGCCCCGCCGGATTCGTTTTCCGCGTCTAGGTCAAGGGTCAAAGGCAGGGGCGGTGCCGGTGGGGGCCGGGATCCCTACCCCTGCCCCGGCCATGGCTCTGCTCGGCGCGCGTGGCCTGATTGCGGCTCACGCGATCGTAGCCGACGTGCTGCTCCTCTATGGTGGGCTGGACCGTCTCAGCCTGCCTCAGTGGCTTGAGGAGTGCCGCCCCTCCGCCGAGGCCGGCTGGCTCTTCCTCTCCTTCTGCTGCATCACGCTCGGCTACGAGGAGCTGCTCACCGTGTCGGCTGGCTGGCTTGGGCCGGCCGTTATCACCACCTCTCCGCCGGTCGACACTGCCTTCGCGCCGATGGACGCCGTCAGTGTCGCTTCCGCGTCCTCATTCGCCTCGCTCGCGACTATCAACTTCATCGCCTGCCTCCTCTCTACCTCGGCGGATCGCCGGCGGCTGTCGGCGCTCGGCATGGCTATCGCGGCGATGGCGTGCGTCGCGTACTGGTCCCTCGCGGACGGCGTCGGGGTCCTCTCGACGTATGGGAGGCCGTTCTCGCCACTGCGATACGTACTGTGGGCGCACACGACACCCGGCCTCGCCCTCATCTCGGGCAGCAGCCTCTCCACCACCAAGGCGGGGCGGCGACTGCACCGCAATATCGTTAGCATCATGATGGCCGGCTTTCTCGCCACGGCGGCGGTGCCGGAGCCCGTCGCGAGGCTCGGAGCCGCCGCGCTTTGGGCTTGGCGCATCGGCTGGCTGGGGACGAGCTTTGGGTACATGGTCATCTCTCTGCGGCGCGTGTGTGCAAACATCTTGAGCCAGGCGACGCACCCGCTCACGGGCCAACTCATCAGCACGCTGACGGCCCTCTCGTGGAGCTTCTTCCCCGCCCTCTGGCTCGCCTCCCAGACGGACCTGCTCTCGCAGCCGGCAGAGCTCACGCTCCTCGCGCTCGCGGACTTTTGCGCAAAGATGCTCTCCTCCGTCTCGCTGCTGCTGCACGCCGCCGAGAGCCACAGCCAGCTGGAGCGGCTGCAGCTCTCGCAGCGCCTCGAGCGGGAGCAGATCCGCGCCGACGCGCTGCGCACCTTCGCGCGCACGATGGGCCACGACCTGCGCACGCCGCTGCAGGCCCCCCCACCCCCCCCAGCTTGTTGAATCATGCGATTGATTGATACCAATCCCAAACCCTGTTGGATGAGTGTTTTGTGCCACAGAAAAAAGGTTTAATTA